CCCTGCTGCTGCCCGTTCTCCTGAATTAGGGTTTGGGGGTGGGGGTTATGGGGGTGCAGTTTCTGTGCGTCGTCCCCTGCTCCTCCTCCTCCTCCGTCTCCCAGTGCTGCAGCTGCCGCTGAGGGGGGTGGGTGTGTGGGAGCCGAAGGAGTGGTACTAGGGGGGTGATGTGCAAGTGGAGTTAGGAGTGAAGCAGTGGGTGTGTGGGGGGTGTGTGGGACAGTTGGAGGAGGTTGAGCGGAGGCTGCTGTCTTGTCGTCCGCAGCACCTGTAGTCCGGGGCGCACTGTCCTGGTAGCCCAGAGAGTCTGCTGTGCCTGTCGCCCGAGGGTCCGTTGCTCCTGTAGCTCGTCGTAGCCCGTGAGCCAGTTACTCCAGTAGTCCGGGGCGCACTGTCCCGGTAGCCACTGTGCCAGCAGCTCCTGTTGCCCGTGTGTCTGCAGCTTCAGCCGCCGTCTCTCATCTTCTCTCCTCTCACAGTCCCTCCTCCTCCTCACTTGCCCGCTGTGATTACCTCTAGCTTTGCTTATAATTGTGAACTATTACTATGCTTGCTTGTTGTGCTGATTACACCCCACTTTGGCTATGGGGGTGTGTCAGAATGTTATAATTGTCTAGCCTGCAGTGGGGTACTCCATAGTGAGTACAGCCCAATTAGGGTTTGCTATATGTGTCCAACTGCTTGCTAGTGAACATCCTCCTTTCTTCATTCTTTCTTTCTACTACTACTTCTGACATTTAGATCACAGCGTCTACTAACGCGTACAGGAATGCATTCTTCACGTCGATTTGTCGAAGCGGCAGATGTCATGCGGCAGCGATGGCGAGGAGAATTCTGACGGAGGTGTGACGACTCACCGGCGCAAACGTTTGATCGAAGTCAATCCCGTGCCTCTGGTCGTAGCCGCGTACTACCCAGCGAGCCATAAATCGTTCGATCGTTCCGTCAGATGCGGTTTTCACATGGAAGACCCACTTGCCGGAAAGGATCCTTCTTCCCTTCAGTGCTGCACAGTCGACGAGCACCCAGGTGTCTCGTGACTCGAGTGCCTTGATCTCCACTTCCATCGCCTCGCGCCACTCCTTGGTGTGAGGTCCTGTGAGTGCTTGCTGTGGGTTTTTAGGCTCGATGATGCGCGGCGCCGTTGAGGTGGCAGCGTGAAGCCCAAGCAATTGCATTTTGGTGACAGTGCTATCGTGGCGATGCTGCGGGACGACCTCCTGCACGTCATCGTCGTCGCTTTCTGGCTCTGGTGGGGCTGGTGGTGCTGTCCCTCCGCCGATTCCGTCGCTGCGACGATCGCCTCTCGTGAACTCCCCTCTGGGGTCTTGCTCCATGATAGCCGCGGCAGCTTCGTCTTCTGGCGTGGCGCAGCTGTGCCCGTCATTGGCGTAAACGCGGTTCGCGTTCGTTTGTCTTCGCGAAACTGCTGGAGGAAGAGGCGCTCGTAGAAGATGACGTCACGCGCGTTCTTAACTTTCTGGCTCAGGAGATCCAGAATGATCCACGCCTTGTATTCGCGGCTGATGCCGAGGTGGATCCCCTAGCGCGCGCGGCTCCTGAATTTGCCGATTGTTGAGGTCGGCGGTCGGTACTGCACCATGCACCCCCACACGCGGAGCATGGAGGTGTCGCCCTTGGTCCCCGTCCACTTCACATGCGGGGAGAGGTTCCCGGTGATTGCGGTAGTTGACAGTAGGTTGTGCACCCGCACGGTGTGGTGCATCGCGTAGGTCCAGTATATCGGCGGAAGCTTCGACTGCTTCATCAGCGCGCGCACCTTCGTCATAAGTGTGCGGTTGGTACGCTCGGCTACGCCCTGCTGCTGATGCGCGTAGGAGAGAGAGATGTGGTGTTCGATCCCCTTTTGCGCAAGATAGTCCTGCAGTTCCTTGCTCTTGAACTCTGCTGCGCCGTCAGATTGCCAGATCTTCAATTTTTCCCCAGATTGCCGCGTGCGCCAGCCACAGACGGAATGCTGCGTACGCTCTGCTGCGTGCTTCCACGTTCACTACCCATACGTAGCGTGTCCCGGCGTCGATGAAGGTGAGCGTGTATAGCTCATCGTCAATGCCGCAGTGTCCCACGTTGAGAAAGTCGCTAAATTTTCTCCAGTTTGGCATAGCGATTGGTGCCTGGGTCGAGCAAGGGGAATGGTCGGTGGCTCAGCGCAGCTTCGGGGCAGACGATGCAGTTGCGCGGGTGTGTTTCGCCTCGTACATCGGTGCCGTCAGGGCGCAGATGTGCGCCAGGCGCAAATACCCCAGCTTCGATGCAGTTTTTCAGAGTCGTGCGTGAGGGGTGACCTACGCGCTGGTGCCAGATGGCGTCGTCAGCACGGAATCCGGAGGTGCGCATGTAGCGCGCGAGTGATTCTGCGGGATCCTCTTCAGGTGCTTGAGCAGGTGCCGCCGCTGCTTCCTCGTCTTCTTCTTCTTCTTCTTCTTCATTCGCCGTCGTTAACATCAGGGCAAGAAATTCCCTGTCGCGGATAATGGAATAGGGGATGTTGGTGCTAGGGATCGTGCCGAGGACGAGTGTCGGTTCACGTGGCTCAGGGTCAGGTCCGTAGACCGTGCGTTGCGGGGTGGATGGTTCGTTACCCCAATCAATGGTGTCCCAGGGATCGCGCTCCGGCTGGAGATCAGGTGGAGGTAAGACAGGTGCAGAATTGCACGGTGGGCGACCAAGAGGGACAATCGCAGGTGCTGCTGCTTCTTCTGCTTCTGCTGCTTCTGCTGCTCCCCCCGTTTGGACCTCGCGGGAAGCTCCCCAGCCTTCACCTGAAGTGCCCCAACCGCTTATCTCGCCGCCATGTGCGGCGCCCCATCTGCTGGTGTTTTCGCCAGTTGTTGCACCCCAGCTGCCAGTGTCGCTTGCCCCCCATCTGTCGGCGCTCCCCCACCCCCCTTCATTGGAGGCGCTTTCCTCTTCGGTTTCCCAGGCGAGCGTTCCGCGGGCCTCAGCGAGGCTTTTCTGGCGAAGCTCCTCGGCTTCGCGTCGCGCTAATGCCTCTTCTTGCGCAGCCGAGAGTTTCTTCTTCAAGTCGCGTCGGTGAGAATATATCTCTGCTGCCTTTTCTTCAGTGTAGGGCCGTGGTGTGCCGTGTGCGTCGAAGGTCCCGACACCGACGTCGCGAAGCATGCCTTGGAGGTGCTGAGATGCGGGTCCGGGGAGGGGATGTTCTAGTGTGCCGAAGGCGACCCGCGTAGCGGTTTCCAGCTCTAGTTGGGATAGTCCCTCCTCATGCGGCGCTTCCCTCTCTGCTTCCGTGATGGCGGCGAGTCTTCGGCCGGAGATCGCGCTTGTCGAGGACGTGGGTGTGTGGCAGTCCCTGCAGACGCCGTGTGGATCGGGGTCATGTAGCGCCAGCTCACGCGGATGTGGGTGATGTGGCACCCATGGGCGCCCATCTGGGTGCTTCCAGTCTCGGCGATGTATGTGCTCGAAGCGCAGGGGGACAAGGTCAATCAGCTCTTGTGAAACACCGTTGCAGTCAGGAATGTCGAAGTAGAGAACATACAGTCCGTTCTCGGCGTGTGCTCGTCCGATCTGCTTGCGTATCTTATTTGGCATCGTGAAGGGGAGCATGATGTCGCGCGTCTCGGGGTCGGTGTTAAGGATAACTCCGCAATCCATGAGTTGCGACGTCGAGAGCAGGTTGAAACGCAGGTTCTGCACAATCAACACGCCATTCAGGGTTATGTGCGTTCTGCTCCCATGTGCCTTGAGCACGACGATGCCTTGCGCGCTTGCGCGAAGCTGTGTGTTGTTTGCCACGGTGACGTAGGTGGCGGCGGGGGTGGCGACAGCGTTGGATATGTAACGCTCAGAGCCCACCATGTGCTGCCCACAGCAGCTATCTAGGTACCACGTGTTGTAGCGCCTGTTGTCGTTTCGCGCGAGCAGCGCCAGTCGCGGAGTGACGATGTGCGGAGTGTCAACCTTCATGAACTATTCGCGCGCGATCCAATCGATCGGTGCCGGCCGCATGTCAGGTACGTGCGGGGGGCTCTCAAGCAGCGGGACTGGGAGATTCAAAACCTGTTTGTCATCGTCGCTGAAATCGTGACGCGTGCTGAACGGGTTGTTGTTAGAGAACGCTTCGATTGGGTGAAGTGCTAGCTCAGGTGATGGTGAGCGCTCGCGCGGGCGACGTGATCCACTCGTCATTGTCATTTTTCCCATGACACTGTGGACGGGGGTAGTCTGTGACGCGGCCAGGCACGCCTGGACTTTGTGGCCTCAGAGGCCAACACTGCAGACGTCTTCACCAAGGCCTTGGCGCTTGGTGATCACCACAGGTTCTGTGTGCAGTTGGGGATTGTTGAGGTAGGCCCTCGGTTGCTGTAGTCTTGTTGTTTGCTCTACTTGTTGTGCTTCCTATTTATATCCTAGTGAACTCTTGAACTGGCCTTGTGGCCACTTGCTTGCGCTCGGAATTTGTGTGGTGTCCTTGAGATCCACCCTGAGCTTGCCTTGTTTCTTGCTTTGACTGGTCTTGTGACCGTTTGTTCACCTTGCTTGCTTTGATGCCCCTCACTTAGCCTATGGGGGTGTGTCAAATGTAATTCTATGCTTGTAGGCTACAGTGAGTAGCACAATAGGGAGTACAGTTGTTAGGGTTGCATATTTGTACTTCCACACCTCCTAGTTTCACACATTCCGTTGCATTCCTATTCTGAGAGTTTTCGTGCTACACCTGCACGACGGTTGCCTGGCGATGGTTTCCGTCGCCAGGCCAACCCTGGTTTCAAGTTGGAACTGGGTTTCATGACCACCTGCTCACCATCCGTAAGTCACTAGTTATATTCCTAGCATATTTTAGCTGGCAACAATAGGTGTTTGTGGCCAAGGTAGGTATCGCGCTCGACCCTCCAGGAATGCGTAAGACTGTCGCGTAGCATAGTATCGTAAGAATTTCCCCTCCACAGACTTTCGCTACCTTTCCGCATGGGCTAGTTTCCTGTATCGCGCCTTCGTTATCGCGCTTTCGTCCGATGTCCGTTCCCCTCCCATCACCTTCGCGGGTCTCTCTCCCCCCCCCCCCCCCCCCCCCCGTCGCCTTCTATATTCCCTCCCTCCCCGTCACCCTCGCTCTCCCCTCCCTTCCTGTCGACAAGTTCTCCCTGTCGCCTTTCCCATCGTCGTCCTCGTCGACTTTAGCTCTCTCCCTGAAATGCCCGCCTCCTAACGCCTTTCTTCTCTCCCCTCCCATCGCCTGCTCGCTCTCCCTCCCGTCGCCTTCTTCTCTCCCCTTCCGTCGCCTTCGCGCTCTCTCCCCCGTTGCCTTCGCGATCTCCCTCCCGTCGACTGCGCGCTCTCCCTCCGATCGCCTTCGCGCTCTCTCCCTCGTGGCCTTCTCGCTCTCCGTCCCATCGCATGGGCGCTCTCCCTCCCGTCGCCCTTGCAATTTCCCCTCTCTTCCCGTCGCCCACTTCATCTCCTATCGCTCACGTCCTCCCTTCCCGTCGGCATCGCACTCGCGTTCCTCCCTCCACTCGACATCGCCCTCACGTCCTCCCGTCCCGTCGTTCGCCTCCTCTCTCCCATCCCGTCGTTCACCTCTTCTCCCCTCCCACCCCATCGTTCGCTTCCTCTCCCCTCCCATCCCGTCGTTTGCCTCATCTCCCCTCCCATCCCGTCGTTCCTCCTCTCTCTCCTTTCTTCCCGTCGCTTTTGCACTCTCCCCTCCCATCCGCTGGTTATTACCTTGCCAAACTTATTTTCTCCACCCTTTTTTTAAAACTTCTTTCAGCCCCGAGTCCAAGGATACGTATTTTAGCGCAGCTCTGCTCTCATCTCTTGCATATGGGTGTGTGCTGGATTTTCCCTGTGTTGTTGATTGATGTGAGTTTTGGTGAAGTCACATGAGCGCTCGAGTGAATACAGGCATTGCAACCCCTTGCGCCAAATTCGCACACAAGTATGTGTGAGTTGTGTGTGAGTTTCGCTGCCAATCAGAATTGTACACATGGTCAAAATGTTCTCCGTTCACAATGAGACTCGTATGGAGTGGAAAAATAAAAAGCACAGCACTTCCAACTTTCCGAAGTGTTCCAAAAAAACTCTGTTTTCAAGTGGACCCAACTAGAAGGGGGGGGTCACTATTTTAGCTGCTGGCTTTAACTGGTGAGAAGGCTTCTGGATCCCCATGCTTGATCACAAAATAGAAGAAATGTTTAGCATTCTGATTACCTTTAAAGCCAGCAGCTAAAATAGTGACCCCCCCCTTCTAGTTGGGTCCAACTTGAAAACGGAAGTTTTGGGAAAGTTGGAAGTTACGTGTGAGATTTTCTTTCAACACCAGAGTTTGCCTCAAAGTGAAGGGGGAACGATTGGATCATATTTATGAACTCTGATTGGTGACAAACTTTCTCGCACATACATGTGCGATTTTGGCGCAAGGCTGCACGACGTGCAAAGCTTCTGGTGAATGTACCAGTGAATGTACCAGAAGCTTTGCGTGACGCAACGACACAAGCAGTTCCGACAACCCACACACATGCAACGAGAATGTTTAGGTGATCCAGAGCTAGTCGACCTGTGAGACCAGTGCAGCGAAGGACCTGCGGCCTGCTCTTTTAGAATAATATTAACAAGGGGAGGGGAGGGGACGGTAGTGAGGAATACCGTAACGACGGGGCAAGCGCGAATGCGAAGAGGTGGGTGATGGGCGGGGGGGGACGGAATAAGGCCGCCGCGAGGGCAATTCCACGCGAATGTGAAGGTGATGAGCTGAGCGACGAAAGGGCGTTTCGGCGGCGAGCGCGTTCAACCGAAAAATATCGAGGCAAGTATCGCTACGAGACGCGTAAGATCCATCGTCACTAGGCCACGGATAGAAGGATGTGGATTAAATCTATAAAAATGGTAGTTGCCTAGGCAAAAATGCCTACGTTTTCAGCTATTCTAAGCTTGGCTAAACTAGAGACTAGAGTGGAAAGAAGTAGTGGAACCCAGGTCCAGCTTGAAGTTGGAGTTGGGCCCAACGATCGCAATGATCGCCGTGCAGCCGTCGTGCGGGTGCACCATGTTGAATGCGACTCCTTGTGTAAGGCCCAGAAATTTCGTTTTTGGCGGGAGCCAATCAAATGGATTCGATCTGCACATACGAAATGTTTGAAACAGTGCTTTGCAAACCCACCCGGGAAGATCCTTTCAAGCTGGGACGGGGTTCACTATTCTATATTTCGGTTTTAACTGCCATATTAAAATCAGTATGAAAGATATCACCGTGTGAGATCCATGGAGCACAAAGGAGCCCAAGTCATATTCATTAAATTTATTTCTTATTGTTACGAATAGTAATTATGGAAACATCACTGTGCACTCCTAACCGCAGCAAGCGAAGCACGCAGTATCGAGACTGAATGTGAAAGGTCGGGATTGACTCGGAGCGTCAGGCGGTTAGGATGGGCCGGGACCGACGGAGCAGATGACATCGAGCAGTTGCAGACAAGAGGAATTAGGCGGGAAAGGTTTCGTAACTGTACGCGCCGCACAGGTTGGGAATCAATTTGATTAAGGGAACATACCCCTTAGAGTACATGGCTAGCTAGGTCGATTCGAATTTCCCTGTGCTCATATTTATATCTTTGTATGTGCATGTTTTTATCATCTCAAGCATTTACATTCACTCTGATATTGAGGTCAATGGCCCACCACCACTAATTCAGTAGTTGCGAACCTTCATGAGGTGATCCTGAGCTCGATCAACATCTGATCGCAACATGGTACGGGAGCAACTCAGGAATCCTTCGCACTGCCATCTCTGAAATCCGCGACATTCGGAAAGTGGCGTCCGGCACACGATCGCGTGTGAGAATGGCCGGAGGATCTGGCGGTCAGACGAATCTGACGGCTGAAGCGCAGCCCAACCCAACTGCGACAAGCAAGGAAAGGACGGCGATCCCTTCCGCCGTCCTCGCACAACTGCTTCAGCGACTCACAAGTCTAGAGCAATGGCTCCAAACATTGCGGAATGGTGACGCGTGAACATCCTCCCAACCCACTCAACCGGCCTCGAACGGCCAGAACTCCCCCCCTCACACCTTCTCTCTCGACACAAATGGCTCAACACCCAAGACTCCATGTCCCAGCGATGAAGCAATTCTCTCTACGCAATCAAGGTTTTTGAGCACATAAATAATAAAGACAAGTGTGTGTTTTGACGGTAGAGACTTTTATACTTGGAGCTTCGAGGTGGAGTACAATCTCTGAGGAGATATTCGTAAACATTGTGCTCCAAGGGCTCGGCCCAGAATGGCGGCCCTGCAAGGCGCTTCTCCGACAGCAGGGGGACATATCGGAGGCCGCCCTTTGCGCCGCCCTTCTCGTCGAACAAGGGACATGGATCAGCAGCGACTAGCGCCGCGACGAGACAGGGATCCCCACGCCTTCTACGTCGACAACACAGAGGAGCGACGGCCGCGGCGCCTTTACTACAAGATTTGCAGAAACTTCGGGCACTTGGCAGATCGATGCAAGTCCCGGTCTCGCCCTCGCCAGACCAATCCGAGCAACTGGTCTGGACGACAAGACGCACGGAACGATCCGCGTCGCGCCTAGAGGTATCAACCCCCATCATGCAACCTGAACCCAACGGTTCATCACCAGCCACAGACGACGACCGTGTAGACCTCCACGACACAGCACCAGCTCCCAGACTGAAGCAGTAACCCTGAGTCGAGCGCTGAGTCTCCACGTCGTCAGCGTAGGAAGAGTCGCAGTGACCAGTCAACGCCACTGGCTGAGTCCCTCCAAGCACAAGCCCCATGCCTGATGTAGTCGCCAAGTACTTCGCCACCCTCACAGCAGCTGTCCAGTGGACAGGGCGGTGTCTCCCAGTCGCAACAAAGCGAGAAAGGATGCTGAGGGGAAAGGCGAGGTCCGGTCGAGTACAAGTCATCAGGTACATGAGGCAGCCCACCAGCTTTGCGTAGGGTCCACTGGACTCGAAGGGCTCGTCAGGAAAGGGGCCAGTGAGTCTGTGGTCAACAGCAAGAGGAGTGGGCTGTGTGGTGGAGAACTGGAAGTCGAACCGCCGAAGGACCTGCTGCACCATGTGTGACTGCGTCAGTGTGATGGTGCGAGCGGCTCTGTCCCGGGTGATCTGCAGGCCAAGGTAGCGCTGCAGCTCACCCAGGTCAGTGCACTTGTGTCTCTTCTGCAGTTCGGACTTCACCTGAGCCAGGGCTGCCCTGTCAGCTGTAGCAAACACCAAGTCATCGACGTAGACAAGGATAAAGAAAGGAGTAGAACCCGCTCGAACAAACAGCGACGGGTCGGCGGAGGACGGGCTGAACCCAAGGTCACGAAGCGTGGAGCGAAGAGTGTCGTGCCACTCACGGGGCGACTGGCGGAGACCGTAGACTGGTCGCCTCAGACTCCACTGGGTCCCAGGTGGGAAGGTGTCAGTGAAGCCAGGAGGACGGCGCAGCCAGATCTCCTCGTGCAGTCGGCCCTGGAGGAACGCAGTGGAGAAGTCGAGGGAGTGCAGCTCGTAGTCTCGCTGCGCTGCTATGTGGAGTAACACCCGAAGAGTAGTCATCTTCGGGGTCGGGGCGAAGGTCTGGAAGAAGCCAACTCCCTCACGCTGACTGAAGCCCCTAGCCACGTAGCGCGCCTTGAACACCGGCGGTGCTTCAGGCGGCCGCTTCACCTTGAAGAGCCACATGTCATCGACTACGTTCGCCCTGGGAGGGGGAACTGCGTCGACGTAGGTGCCTGTGGATCTCCAAGACGCCAACTCTGAGTCCATAGCCGCTTTCCACTGAGAGGCCCACGCCCCTGACACTGCCTCGCGGTAAGTGCGAGGAGTCGGTATGTCAAGGGCGTCGGGGTCTCCCTCAGGGGAGAGCAGCATGGCACACACAGAGGGAGAAGCGGCTGCCCAGTACTCCAGCTCAGACTCTCTGTCCTCTAGGACGTCACAGCCAAGGGCAAACCCACCCCCGACGGACAGAGGACGGTAGGGAGGAGCTGGCACCACCCGGGTGGCGTAGTCAAGGCGGCTGGCGGCAGCAAACTCAGCGACAGCGGCAGTAAGAGCCGAGGCAGACGACGGAGGGAAACGAGAGTCAGTGACAAGAGTGGCGAGGACACGTGCGGCAACAGGACGAACAGTGCGGTAGTAGTCAGTTATAGGAGTGGGGAGGGCTGGGAGAGAGGACGGAGGAGGAGACGGGAGAACGGACACAGGAGAACAAGAACGACGACTGGACGAACAAAAGAGGGCAGTGTGGAGGTCAGTAACAGGGGACGAGTGACGAGCACGCGGAGGACAACGAGTGATCAAGTCGTGACGGACAGAGTGAGGAGGAGACCGAGGAGGAGGAGAAGACCAGACCGCCGGACGGTCGTCAGGAGGAGGCAACGGAGGAACAAGCACAGGAGGAGACTGGGAGCGGACAGGAGGAGAGGAGGAAAGGCCAAGGGCCGGCAGGCCACTCACATGTGGGAACAACTGCCGCTCCAGAGGAAGCTGCGGTGGCGGCTGCGGCTGCTGCTGCTGCAGCGGTGACTGCGGCTGCTGCGGCTGCGGCTGCGGCTGCTGCTGCTGCGGCTGCGGCTGCGGTTGCTGCTGCTGCTGCTGCTGCTGCTGCTGCTGCTGCTGCTGCTGCTGCTGCTGCTGCTGCTGCTGCTGCTGCTGCTGCCGCTGCTGCTCCAGAAGGTCCAGCACCCGCAGCTCCTGCCGCTCCCTCTCCAACCGCTCCTGCTCCTCACGCTCACGCCGACGGGCAGCCTGGAGACGCGTGTCGTGGCGGTGGGGAGGCGGAGTGGACTCTGCAGAACCAGGGTCTCCAGCGTCAGTCTCCTCAGACTCAGCACCCCCAGAACCAGCACCTCCAGTGCCAGGACCTCCAACTCCAGCACCCCCAGAACTAGCACCGCCAGTGCCAGCACCGCCAACTCTAGCACCCCCAAAACTAGCACCTCCAATGCCAGCACCTCCAGCTCCAGCACCCCCAGAGCCAGCGCCACCTGCGCCAGCACCTCCAGCTCCAGCACCCCGCGACTGAGCACCCCCAGACCGAGCACCGCCAGCGGCTGCACCTCCAGCTCCAACACCAATCGAGTCCACAGTAACCTGTCGCGGAAGTGCCGAAGGCTGCTGAGGGGACTGTGAGGAGGACTGCGGGGAGGGAGACGCTACCTGACGCGCGACCGAGGGTAGAGGGGTAGCGTGAGACACACCAGACGGGGCAGGACCAGGGGGGGGCGGGGGCACCGGAGGAGCAGGAGCAGGAGGAGGAGAGGGTGCTAGGAACAGGGGGGGAGGGGGTACCGGGAGACCTCGACAGGGGTACCGGGTGTAGTAGGATACAGACTCGTCAAACCGGACGTCACGGGAGTCTAGGAACTGGTGGAGGGGCGGGTGGTAAAAGGACCAGTCGGCAGAGTCCACTGGGAAACCAAGGAAGACACAGGGGACGGCGCGTGCCGAGAGCTTGTCCGCGGAGGTGTCGCGAACAAGTGCAAGGCAGCCCCAGACTCGAAAGGCCGACCCAACACCAGGGGAACCAGTCCAAAGACTGGTCGGTGAAGCCTCGGGCCGCGAGACACGCGGCTGGAGGTTCAGCTGGTGTGCGGCGTAGCGAACCGCGTGAGGCCACAGAAAATGGGGCGCACGGGCATGGATCATGGACGTGCGGGCGATGTCCATGACCAAGCCTATGCGGCGCTCAGCAACCCCATTCTGCTGTGGGGACTCTGGCAGCGTCCAGGACTGGGTGATGCCCTGTTCGCCGCAGAATCCGCCGAGAATGCCGGAGCGAAACTCGCCCCCACAGTCGGAGTGAAGACAACTGACTCGACGACCACGAGTGCCCTCAGTGGCTAGAAGCCACCTGATCAGCGTAGCAGTCACCTCGTACTTCTTCGCAAGAGGGAACACGGTGGTGTACCTGGAGTAGTCGTCGACGACCACCAGAAAGTAACGCTCTCTCCCAGACCCCTGCGTCGGGGCAGGGCCCCAGACGTCCAAGTGGAGAGTCTCGAAGGGAGCGGTGGCCGGACGAAGGGAGGAGGAGTGGGGAGTGGCGCGTAAGCGACCGGCGACGCACGGAGAGCAAGGAGGGGCAAGCGAGAGAGGGAGCGACGGGAAGGTGCGTGGGAGACCTGTGACAAGTCCCTGACTGAGCATGCCACGAAGGCGAGGGATCGACGGGTGGCCAAGGCGGTGGTGCCACAGGACGGTGCGGTGGGCAAGAGAGCGACAGGAGCAAGACGCAGCGACTGGACTGGACACAGCGACCGGACTGGACACGACCACCTGGCTAGACACAGCAACTGGACTGGGGACCTGGGCCGGAGGGGACGCAGCGACCTGAGGGGAGGACGCGACCGGGGAGCGCTCGGTGTGGAGAACGTAGAGACCGGAGCGGGGCTCCCTGGTGAAAGTGGCCAGAACAGCACCTGTGGTAGCGTCAGTACAGACTGCAGTCCGCCCACCCCCCACGAAGGTAACCGTGATCCCCCTGTCCTGGAGGTATCCAACACCCACCAAGTTCCGAGTGAACGAGGGGATGTGGAGGCCGCGCAGGACACCAGAGGGGACCACAGGGCACGGGAGGGTGGTGGAGCTACGCGCAACGGCTGGTCCAGAGGTAGGATCAGCCAGAGCCACCGACACAGGGGTGAGGAGTGGCGTAAGGGTCGTGTGGTCGCGGAAGAAGCACTGAGACGCGCCCGAGTCCAGCGTGAATGACAGAGAGGCCTCAGCCGGAGGGTCACTGGACCCAGTCGCTACACAAGCACCTAGAGCAGCAACACAAGCACCTAAGCTAGACAGGCACAAGGCTACACTAGCAGGAGGCAAGCAGGCTAACCTACGAACACGCGAGCACACAGACCCATCAGCACTAAAGTCAGCATCAACATACAAAGCATGCTGACGCGCATCGTCCATGGACAGATCAAAGACATCAATCTTACGGGCTAACAGGCGAGACCAGCGAGGCGTGACCGCCAGAGGGCCCCAACGAGCCCGGTAGAGGTCGTCGAGGCGGCGGAAGCACCGCGCGGCAGAGTGGTCGTCACGTCACCATCAGCAGCACTTCCTAGTGGCACTCCTGCTTGTGGTAACCAGCTGATGTTTATGTCGCAAACTGGAAAACACTCTCTTTTGCCGGCGTCAGCGTCGCCGTCTCCGTGCCGCCCCTTCGCGTGCGCAATTTGCGGCTCCAAATTCGCGTCGCTTCAAGCTCTGGGCGGCCACAAGTCGGCTCATCGCGACGGCAGCGGCGGAAAGCCCGTGGCCCGCGCTTCGACGAGAACCTGCGGCGCCGCCGCGGGCGGAAAGCGGCGGCGGGAGCTCTCTCCGAACCCGCCGCTTCGGGGTCCGTATTCTCTCTATAAAGACGCGCCGCGCATCGTGAGGACGGCTGAAGATAGTAACGTCGTTGAATCAGAGCCGCTGCAGTTGCCGCAGCCGCTGCAGCCTCGAGTGACCGGAGCGCCACCGCAGCAGCCTTTGTCTGAGGCGGCTCGGAACTTGAATCTGAAGGTGAAAGCGCCGGCGACGCGGCCGCCCAGGCTGACTCGGATTGACAGCTCCACGCGGAGCTCTGTCGCGGACACAAGACACAGCGGTGGTGACCAGAGCAATGGTAACCAGACCAGTAACCAAAGTGGTAACCAGAGTGGGTCCACGGACACTGAAAGAGCTGCAATTCTGGCGAACATTCGGCAAGAGCTGGGTCGGCTGAAGCGTCAGAGGGTGTCCCACGTGGCAGGAGAGACAAGCGCACGATCCACGTCATCTGATGAGTCTGATGCTGACGTGGATGCAGGCTCAGGAGCCAGGGGTGCCAGCTTGGGAGCTTCGGATTCAGCCATGGCTGCGTGTGACGCGGCACCTCATGTGAAGGAGAATCTTGATGAGGCCGAGCAACAGGCGACACGGAATGCGAAGAATGCGAGGAATGGGAGGGAAGCAGAGGTAATGGAGTTGAATCTTTTTTGCTCCTCGGGGGTGGAGGAGACGCATCAGGAGAGTGGCAGCTCTGGGAGTGCGTGTGAGGAGCTGCGCACCGCTCAGCACCATTCTGCACCTGCTCCAGTGCTGGACCTTGCACTGCACCTCTGAAAAATTTTTACTTACCTACCTAGCTCCATAGGTGGGTAACGTTTTACATGGAACATGTGCTTCATGTTAGTGTGAACAGGTTAATTTGGGAATGCTTGGTTTGGTCACCTGGAGGAGGATCCAGGCAGTGAAGAAAGAGTATCAAGGCTTTGGGGTGGGATGTGTGGAAAGGAAGGCCGTCTGCTCTGCAGGCTGCAAGGCCAGAAACAACATGCAAGAACATGTTCTGTTTTGGGGCGTTGGTTGGTGCTGGTTTGGGCTGTGGGTTTTTGGCTAGAACACATTGCTGTAGCCAAATTGTACACCTCAGTATGTGCGTGTTTATACATCAGCGATCTTTCTTCGCTTGCACTGTTGAAACCAGGGTGTTGAGGTGGAGCACATGGGAAGCAGCACCCAACCTTACTGCCACGATGACTAGCACATGCGTAGCAGCGATGTTGGTAGAGGAAGAAGTGAATGTGGTGCCACTTGTAAGAACTAAACAACCCATACGGTGGTGGGAGGAAGAAGATGTGCTGGTAGTGAAGAAGACTTTATCCACATCACAGGTGAAGTGCTGCCGCCCCGAATCTGCTGAGGCTCTTGCTGCTGAGAACTTCAAAAGAAAACGAGATAACCCATGTGCTGGTGATGGTGATGTGAACACTCCACGTCACAGCTTCAGTGCCGCCGCCCGAATCTGCTGCGGCTCGTGCTGAGATGGCGCTGCCGCCCGCTGCTTCTTGCTGCCAGATGCTCTGATGTCCTGGATGTGAGTGAAGACCTGTGGGGGAGAGGGAGGGAGGAGGGGAAGGGAGGGAAGGGAACACAGCAGCTCAAATCAACTCAAAGCACCTCTTGCTGCCAGATGCTCTGATGTCCTGGATGTGTGTGAAGACCTATGGGGGAGAGATGGAGGAGGGAAGAGAACACAGCGGCTCAAATCAACTCAGAGCAGCTCCTCCTGCTGCCAATGTAGCACCTCGAATCACAGTGGCAGCTCCTCGTGCTGCCAGATGCTCTAGACAGCATTATGGAAGTGAGTGGAGATAGACTAGGTGTGTTTTTTTTTTAGGCGCCTCAAAAGTGAGTGGAGATAGACGAGGTGTGGAAGGCAAGCAGCGAAAAAGCGGGCAATCGGGCACGAAAAAAGCAGGACAGATGAGAGCAGTTGAATGATACAGATGGAGCATGGCAGGGGCGGCCAGGTAAGAAGGAAATACCTTTGCTGAGTTGGTGAAATCTGATAGGCCCTGCTTCTGCTGCCCCCCCTCCACCACCCGTAACTTGCGCCCAACACTGCCAGCAGCAGCACCACCCGCACCCGATGCCATGACAGGGACTGCCTGAGAGCTTTGCTGGTCTTCGGCCTTCTCTCCTGCGCAAGCACAAGGGGAAAAAAGGAGGGCAGGGGGAAGGGGACATGCTTTTCAAGTTGATCGAGAAGACGCTGCTACAGAGACTGCCTGTGAGCTTTGCTGGTTTTCGGCCTTCTCTCCTGCGCAAGCACAAGGGCGCGGACAGAGAGGAGGGGAGAGGGGAAATGTGTCGGGAGAGTTAAAACAGAATGGGGACCGACGGGAACAAATCACAGAGGTCAAGAACCCCAACAGCAGAAATCAACCACTCACCCTTCCACTTGCGCTTGAGCTTGCTGCGCAGTCGCTTCCGGTCCTCCCGCTCCATCTCCCCCTCGCCCTTCACCATCCCCCGCGCACTCCCCCTCCTGCCCCCGCCCGCGCCCACGCCCTCCTCCCCGCCTGCAAACACCTCCTCTGGCGCCAGCATGCTGGCTGTTGACACTGCCACTGGCGCCACCTGGGGAGAGTAGGGGAGGGGGGGGAGAGGGGGAAGGGATTGGAAGAGAGAAGGGGAATCAGTAACTGGGGCGATGAGATGGAGAGCAAGGGCCGCCCCCACGCCCTCCTCCCCGCCTGCAAACACCTCCTCTGGCGCCAACATGCTGGCTGTTGACACTGCCACTGGCGCCACCTGGGGAGAGAGGACGGGAAGGGATTGGAAGGGGCAATGAGTTAGGGAAGAAAGGCCGTCCCATGCCCTCCTCCCCTCCAGCATACACCTCCTCTGGCGCCAGCATGCTGGCTGTTGACACCGCCACTGGCGCCACCTGGGGAGAGTGGGGGGTAGGGATTGGAAGGGACATTGAGCAAGGGAAAAAGGGCCGCCCCCACGCCCTCCTCCCCGCCTGCAAACACCTCCTCTGGCGCCAGCATGCTTGCTGTTGACACCGCCACTGGCGCCACCTGTTGGAGGGGGGTTTGGTAAGGGAGAAACGGCAGGCCAAGGATGTGCCGGAGAAACGGCAAACCTCCTTGGTTTGTTTAGAAAGGTCATTTCTAAGAACTTAGGAAAACGACCTACGAACAAAAGCAGGGAGGAAGGAGTGAAGCAGGAGACACCACAAGCACAGCACACACGACAGACGGACGGACGCACGCACGTACCTCTTCCATAGCAATGGCAGGCACGTTGGCCGTGACGTCAATGTCATCCATGATCTGATGGGATGGGAGGGAGGAGGGGAGCAACAAGCAGGAGACGCGGAATGTTCAGTATAGTCACATCACATCACATCACATCACATAACCCACTACTGCTGGCAATGGCAGGCACGTTGGCCGTGACGTCAATGTCATCCATAATCTGATGGGATGGGATGGGATGGGATGGGAGCGGGGAGGGGAGTAACAAGCACAAGATGTGATCTGATGGGATGGGAGGAGGGGAGTAGCAAGAATGTGAGATTGGTGAAGCACAGGGAAGACGCAGCGAGAGACTAGGAGCAGCGGGACAGCGGCATCACGGCCGGGAATATTGAGCAGACCCAAATATCAAGTCCCAAATCGAGCACATGAGAAGAGATCGAAGCTGCGTGTATGATACGTGCCGAGTGTAGAGGGGGATGTGTCGCAGGGGGGTGGGGCATGGACGATGGGAGGGGTTTGAGACGTACCGGCTTTGGAGCGAAGTGGAAATGTGAGAGAGCATCCAGCTTGGTGCACAGATGCTTGAACATACGGGCCGCCTGAATGGGGTGATGGGTACGGCAAGGGGGGGTTGACAGAGAGGGAAGGGGGGGGAAAGGGTGATGGGGAAGTGCGAGAGTGCGTCTAGCTTGGTGCACAGATGCTTCAACATGCGGGCCGCCTGTATGTGGGAGCAGTGACGGTGGCGGGGGGGGGGGGGGGGGGGGGGGGGAAGGGGGGAGGAGAGGGGTGGTGAGGAGGAGTGTCAACAGGGAAGCCAGCAGTACAGGCTGACCAAATTCAGCCAGCAGCCTGTGAGAGAGGAGAGGAGGGGGGAAAGAGGGGCGGCAAAGAGGAGGGCGGAGTGTGAGAGGGCACCAAGTTGATCACGCGGGCAGTGGGGGCCGCCCACCCGTCCCCTCCCCTCCTCTCACCCTTCCCCCTTCCCTTCTCCCCTCTCCCCTACGCTGCACATACGTGCATGCACATACACTGCACCGCCCGCTCATACGCTGCACCCCTCCCATCTCCCCTCCCCCATCCCCCCTCCCTCCCCCCCCCTTGCCTTCCCCCCCCACAGCACCTCGTGTTTGATTTGATCTGCTCAGTGGCGCTCATGCCCTCGGGAGCCTGCCCAGCCTTAACCCCCCCATCCAATCTGCTCGCGCAATTGCCCCCCTTCCCACCCTCCCCCCCCCACAGCACCTCGTGTTTGATCTGCTCTGTGGCGCTCATGCCCTCAGGAGCCTGACCAGCCGCCTCTCACCATTCCCCCACCATCCCTCCCTCTTTGACCCCCTTATCCCATCCCTCTTCCCCCCCTTCACCTCGTGTTTGATAGCCTCGGTGGCGCTCATGCCCTCAGGAGCCTGACCAGCCGCCTCTCACCATTCCCCCACCATCCCTCCCTCTTTGACCCCCTTATCCCATCCCTCTTCCCCCCCTTCACCTCGTGTTTGATAGCCTCGGTGGCGCTCATGCCCTCAGGTGCCTGACCAGCCGCCTTGAGGAACTGAGCCTCGTAGATCTCCGCCAGTCCCTGCGCGCTGGGGTTGTCGTCCTGCCAGGGAAGGGCCATGCATGGAGGGAGCACACAGGAATGAGACGCACAAGTCAAGCGAGAATGACTGGGTGGCAAGACAAAGACAGGGGCGAGGGAGCCTTGAGGAACTGAGCCTCGTAGATCTCCGCCAGGCCCTGCGCGCTGGGGTTGTCGTCCTGCCAGGGGTGTGGGTGGATGGGCACAGGTTGATGGGCACAGGTGGATGGGCACAGGTGGATGGGCACAGGTTGAAAGAACACACAGGAATGTCAGGCAGTGGAATTCAACCGGAGTGACAGGGTGGTAAGACACAGCAGCAGAAGCAAAAGCAGCATGGCCGACTCACCAGCTCCAATCTCCCCTTGACAGGTGTCGCTACAGGCTTGGCCTTCCGCTCCACGTCATCAAATTGTTGCTGACGTGGACAAGCAGAGCAAGAAAGGGGAAGAAAGGGGAAGAAAGGGGAAGAAAAGGGGACATAAAGAGAGACGGGGATGGGTTGATTGACGGCATAGCAGCAATATATACTGGTGCCATTGTACCAAGAACAGAACGGCATGTGGTTAATTTGAACACTCGCATTCACTAGCATGGCCAGACACCCACCCGCTCACCCACCGACCAGGCCGCCCGCCCACACAGATATATTATTATATATATATATATTATATATATTATATATATAGATATGTAAATATATGTGTGTGTATATTTACCTCCCACTCCCCCTCTCTTTCCCCCCACCACCCACCCACTCACCCACACAAACGGGACTCACATTGAGAATCCGCTTCTTGATGATCTCTTCGATCGTTTGAGTCACCTCCTCTGTAATCACGGGCGCCGGCCGGGCGGCATGCTCGAAGTCCAGGTCGGCCGCCAGCGCGCTGTTCTTCGGGCGGCTGCCAGCTGTCACCTCGCCGCGCATCGTCCAATGGCGCGCCTCCACGTGGAGGTTCTCCGCCTCCAGCTGGCGCATCCGCTTCCTCAGCCGCTCCAGGCGGATTTCATAGAGTGACTTGGGCTGTGAGAGTAAATGGGGCAGAGCGGGGCGAGAGGATGGCGAGAGCAGTGCGCATTATAAAGCAGCAGGGTAGAGGGCTGTAGTGTCAGTTTCGAGAGTTCTCACTAGCGGGCTGTGTAAAGCAGCTGTAGCTGCAATATTTCAGTCGATTCAATAGGGGGCTGTGTAAAGCAAAGCAGATTTATCAGCAGCCCCATTGTCCCAATCACCATGCCCTCTATCCCCGAAACCTTCCTCATAACGTACCTCCTCATCCTCCTTCTCTCCACCCTCCTCCTCCTCCTCCTCATCCAATAACCCCTTCTTCCTTCTCGCTACAACTGCATTCCCCTCCTCCCCTCCTTCCTCCCCTCCCTCCTCCTCCCCATCCTCTTCCTCGTCATCCTCATCCTCCCCCTCGTCTCCATCCGCTTCCTCCTCTTCCTCATCCTCCTCCTCCCCATCCCACTCCTCCACCTCAACGTCCTCCACATCCTCCTCCTCCTCGCCCCGCATCGCTCTATCGGCCTCCAGGTGGCTCTCTGGCGCCTTCCTCCCGAAAAAGTCCTCGTATCTGGGAAGGACGACGAAAGGGAGAGAACAATGGGGCAAGCCAATGGGGAACGTGCAGTACAAGGGGAGGGATAATGAGGAGAGGGAAACAAAACAGCGCACGTGATTGGGACATTAAGAAGCCTAATCTCCTCCTTCCCCCCTGCATAGACCCATGGAACAGCATCGAAGTTTAAAGCTCACCTGATCATGGACCCATCTACCCATGCCTACCTCTTCTGAGCCTTCCTTGCATACAAGCATGCTCAGCTCAAGGCTCCATACCCCCTCCCTGCACTCACTCTTTGCTGCATGCCCACCCATTCGAGCACAACCGTGGGATGCCTTAATCAAATCCAACAGCTCTCACCTGATCATGGCGCCATCTAGGAGTGCCCTCTTCTTCTGAGCCTTCTTCCGCCCTCCCTGCTCACACACACACACACATGCACACGCACATGCACACACACATGCATACGCACATGCACACGCACACGCACACGCGCATGCCACGCACAAAGACATGCACACAGTCATGGCAAACACATAGACACACATACATGCACGCACATGCCACACACACACATGCCACACACACACAAGCACACACACGTACATGGGCAGGCCGTGCCGTCACGCACATGCCACACACATAGCGACAGCAGCAGACCTTTATTACAATTCATGCTTCAACACTTCTCCTTAATCCTCTAAAACCCGAAACCCGCCTCCCCATCCCTCCCCCCCCCTCCCCATCCCTCCCCACCCCTCCCCATCCCTCCCCACCCCGCCCCATCCCTCCCCATCCCTCCCCATCCCTTCCCATCCATCCTTCATGTCCCACTGTCCCTTACCTCGTCCCCATCATCCTCTTCCCCCTCCTCCTGCCCCCCACCAGGCGACCCTGCCCTGTAAAGCGCCTCAAACGCCCCCTCCCCATCCTCTTCATCCCCTTCCTCCTCCTCCTCCCCCTCTCCCTCCTCCTCTTCCGCTCTCCTCGCTTTCCTGATCTCTTCCATCAAAGCCAATTCATCCTCGTCCTCCTCCTCCCCATCCCCCTCCCCCTCGTCATCCTCCTCATCAGAACCCATTACTATCCCTCTCCTCCTCCCCTCCCCCATCAATCCCTCCTCATCCTCCTCGTCTTCCTCCTCACCACTCTCCCCTTCAGAACCCCCCAGCCCGAAACCCTGTACCCGCTCCTTTTCGTCACTTCCCTCCTCGTCCCCTTCCCCTTCTCGCCCCTTTCCCCCTTTCCCCCCCTTCCCCCGCATCTCCTTCCCTTGTACTTTCCCTCCCCCCTGACCGGCTTCCCCCTTTCCGCCTTTCCCCCTGACAAGCTTCGGAACCCGAAAAAAGTCCTTCCCCACCGCCTTCCCTTCCATGAGCTCCTCCGCCCGCTTCAGCCGCCGTCGAATGCGGGGAAGTGTCGGCGCCATAGCGAGGTCCAGCTGGCACCAGATCTGCTCCGAATCAAATCCATCGACGAAAAGCCCAGGAAGCTTCCTTTCCGGGGCTAACGACTGTGATTTGGTAAAACCGGACGCTCCTTTTTTCCCTCCGCCAGATGCGGCGTCACGTGCGGCGTCCAGGTTGGACATTCCGGTGTCGAAGAGAGCCTTCACTGCGGTGCGAAGCTGCTGCGAAAGGTCCGACGAAGGTGCGAGGAAGGAGGTGGGTGGGAGATCGCCGAGCGACTCGAGAACGGTCTTAGTGGCCTCATCCTCGTTAGTGAGTGTAGCAGGCATGACGCGCTTAACGGGTGCACGCAGGCTGCGAAAGCTTGGAACGCAGGCTGCACTCACGAAAGTGTAACTAACTTTTATTTCGTAAAAGGCGGCTCAGAGCTGAGATTGCCTCACGCAGACATCGACCGGATAGATAGCAACGTCTACCGAAGCCTTTGTTGCGTTGCGATGCGTTGCGATGCGTTGCGATGCGTTGCTTTGCGATGCGACCCTACGATAGTGGTTTCGAGCCTGCTACGGCACAGCACGGGAAGGGAGTCGCAAGAACGGTGGAAATAGGGCCAGGGGCGGATATAAGGGTTGCGGGTGTTAGGGGTTGGCAAATGAGGTTTTAGTCCAACTTCGAAGTTGAAATGTTAAAGCCGGAAGCCCAAATTGCACAAGTTTTAAAAGGATGACGCGAGGGGTTTTTTCTGGGTTGGGTTTTGGCGAGTGATTTCGATTTCGGGCATTTCGTTTTTTTCGCCAAACCCAGCCAGCCCACGTATTTCGCCCTGGCGGTTGTGTCAGCACCCGAAAGTCCCAAATTGCAGGTGCGCTACTTTTCAAAGCTTGCACACTGCACTTCGTCAAGTTTTAAAAGCATGACCCACGCGCACATATAACACGAGTCTCAAAACGCAATAAGGGATTGTTTGAACATTTACATTGCCACTTCATAACGCATATGAGGCAACCTTTTGTGCCCCTGATTCCCCGCTGAAAGCATCAGGCCGCCATATCCGTTGGTGTGTTTGGCATTGACTCAAAACACAACCATGCCGGGCGTCGCATGTTCGTAACTGTCGTGAGGCTTCATAGCCCACCGTATCCTGGCAGTATCAAGTGTCAGGGCTTAAAAGAACTTGTCATTTTGCCGTGATCTCACAGCAATTTCGACTTCATCTCACTGTTTCGCCGTCATCTCGCCAGAATTTCGCCGTCGTCGTCGTCTTGCATCATTCAACCGCTCGACATGATTCGCCGCCTCCTCGTTCGCTTGCTCTTTTCGAAGCAGCCGCCTGCTCGCGCGAACCCCAACCACTCCCTCTCAACGGGACTGCGCGAACCTTCGTCTTCTTACCACGATGGCCTTTTATCGCGTACAGACGGCGCGCCGTTAGCGCCAGACATGGAGTACCTCCGCCTCTTCCGCCAGCGCACGGCGGAGTTCCGCGCGCTCGGGGGGGAAGCGCTGGACGGGGGAAAACGGGCGGAGAGTGGAGGAGATGGGGGAAGAGAAGCAGCGCCGCTGAACCCCCTGCTCGTGCCCTACATTGACTTGAACATCGCTCCGCTTCGCAGGATTTACGCCTGGTAAGTCGTTTCGTACCTCCCAGGGCTACGTGCTACAAGATGTAGTCGTCACTTTGCGGCCGGCCGCTGCTGGGGTTGCCGCTGAACCCGCTGCTCGTGCGCCGCTGCGCAGAATATACGCCTACATTGACCATGCAACACACCAGGCGTATATGCTGCTGGGGTTGCTGCTGAACCCCCTGCTCGTGCCGTACATTGACTTGCACATCGCACCATTGCGCCGAATATACGCCTGGTACGTCGTTTTGTGGCTGCCCGTGCTGCGGATGCGGCTGCCGCTGACCCCTCTACTCGTGCCCTACATTGACTTGAACATCGCGCCGCTGCGCAGAATGTACGCCTGGTATGTTGTATGGTAGCTCCCCAGTCTTCTTGCTGCTAGATTTAGACTTCACTATTCGGCTGCTGCTACTGCTGTTGCTGCTCGTGCCCTACATTGACCTCAACATCGCTCCGTTCCGCACAATATACGCCTGGTATGTTGTATGGTAGCTCCCCGGTCTACTTGCTGCTAGATATAGGCTTCCCTCTGCGGCTGCTGCTGGTGCCCTACATTCACTTGCGCATTGCGCAGCTGCGCAGAATATATGCCTGGTGCGTTCTTGTATAACCGGAATCGGGAGGTGAAGCAGTTTGTAAAGCGGACAACACATCAATCTTCAGAGCACGGAGTATCAAATCTGACTATCGTCCCTCCGCCCCACACCCTCTTCCCTTGCGCCCATGCGCCCCTGCGCCCTTCCGCCCCTGCGCCCCTGCGCGCCACAGGGCCGTACCCACAGAGGAGGCTCTGGGAGCCGTCAAGGCGGCTGCAGGAGGGAAGGTGGTGGTGGAGGTGAGCGATGGGGATGGGTGCAAGGGGCGGGGGTGGGGAGAGGGGGGAGGGGGGGGTAAGGTGTAGTGGAGGTTGCACCTACCCACAGAGGCAGCGCTGGCAGCTGTCAAGGCGGCAGTTAAAGGGATGGGGGTGGTGGAGGTGAGCGATGGGTATGGGCATGGGTTAAGGGAGGGAGGGAAGAACAGTCGAAGGGGGTGGAGTGGGGTGCGATGCAATGGGCATGAGTTGATGACTGATCACCTGCATTTGGAAGCACCAGATTGCTCCGCGCTTTGCGCTTCATAAGCTGGCGAATATGATCCAGAAAACGTCCTGGCATTTCAATCATGCAGTGCTGTGGCATGGCATCGATGCATGTTGCTGACATGGCATGACATGTCATGCCGTGCGGGACATGGCACGTCGTGCCATAACAGGTGTGCCACAAGATAACAGGTGTGCTGCGCTGCTGCTTATCTTTGTGGCATCTCAACCACAAATGAACATAGCATGTCATCATTCCTTCAGTGCTCACCGCAACCATGGCAGGTGGGCGCAGGAACGGGTTACTGGGCTGCACTGCTGAGGAGGAGAGGCGTTGACGTGGTAGCATATGATTGGACTCCTCTCGACAGTGCTGGAAGCACCAGCAGCAGCAGCAATGGTGGTAGCGCCAGCAGCAACAACAGCAGCAGCAATGGCAGCAGCAGTCACAGCAGCAACGGTGTTAGCAGCCGAGTGAACGGGCACCATGCCCTCCCCATGGCATCGGCAAGTCAGCTGGTCAACGTGCCGCCTTTCACTCATGTGTCTGGTGAGCACCCCTCTTGCTTGCACCGTTTGTTTCAATGATGTCGATCGCTGGTTACAAAACTACATCCGTGCACGCAATTCAAACTTTCTCGCAGAGTTAACTGTTCCTCCCTCCCTCTGGCGCGCCTCGTGCTTCCTTGAATTTCACCCTTGAATTTCTCAGAGGGAGATGCCTCGGTGTCTGCACTGCATCCTGACCGTTCATTGCTGCTGTGCTGGCCTCCACCGGAAGAAGCAGAAACAGCTGATGCAGAAACAGGCAGTGGGGGAGGAGCAGCAGGGGGAGCAGCAGCAGCAGGTGGGGCAGCGGCAGCAGATGGGGGAGCAACAGGCGGGGAATCAGCATCAGCTGTTAAGGTGCCATCACTAGCAGCTGACGCTTTACTCCACTACAGGGGATCCACTCTGGTGTTCATTGGGGAACTGCCACTTCACTTCTTACAAGCACACTATGTACAGTCACACTCTTCTCAGTCACCCTCGTACCAGCCGCAAACCGCTGGCCCGCAGTTTCTCTCCCTTTTGGAAAAGAAATGGGTGCTGGTTGCACACGTGGCTCTTCCCAATTGGCCAGGGACACATGACTGTCTGACGGTCTGGAGAAGGAAGGGAAGTTTCAGTGGGGACGGAGCCCTTGCAGGAGGCAGCAGCAATTGTGACAGTAATGGAGGTGACACTGAACGACGTGAAAACTTCGAAGGCAGTGACAGAAGTGCAAGCAGAGAAGAAGCTGGTAGCGATTATTCGTCTCAGTTTCCTGGCTCCTCTGACAGGTCAGAGTTAATCAAATGGCAACGTCAGTGCTGGGACGATGCTGTCATGGGGAGGCTTTTCCTATCCCCATCCATTGCGCGGGCCGGACCAGCAATGGACGCTGAGCTTGTTCAAGCAATGGAGGTGGAGGCAGTGAGAGGTTGGCTCCTTAGAACTCCGTGGTCGAGACTGGTGGGCGGTGTACCCATGCTTCTTATTTCCCCTTGGTATAAGAGGTTCAGTAAAAGCAGAATGGGTGTTTAGTTCATGTTCCACAAAAATGAATCGTCTTCTGTATGATTTCTTATTGGCGCACGAAATAGCGGGTACACACACCTGGCTCAGCGCTTTTGGGAAGGTTCACGCGCCTCCATTTGCAATGTACACCTGGCACTCACTCGTGCCGCCAGTTCAGGTCGCCCTTTCTCGACGGTCCAGCTGGCAACGCGCCCTTTCGGCGAAGATTTGTAATGGAAGTCGCGAGATTTCGTAACTCCTCTGGTTGGGCACACCTTTCCTCCTCGTCCGCTGCTCCATTGAATTTCTCCTCTCAGTCGATCGGCGTTGTATCGGAGAATCTTGTGCTCTCCACTCCAATCGCTGCGGTTGCTGGCACTCGCGGTCTTCGTGCTTCTCGGGGCCGTTCCTAGCAGATTCACCAGCCATTACGTATCAATTACCCTCCGCTGATTGTCAGGTCACCAAAAACTCGAAATCATGGCGTCAGTGGCGTCTCTTCCCGCGACTCTAACCGTCTCGTCTCTCCCTCACAGACTGGCCGCGACCACCAAGCCTTCCTCAGTCGCGCAGTTGATTCAAACAGATTCTCACGCTGCGATGGCGTCCCTAGCCGTTCGCATGGACTCTCAGGGCGTTCGCTTGCGCGGTAGGCTCGGCAGCTCGTTCGGGGGAGCGTCGGTGCTGGAGCGGCCGGGGTTGGACCAATCAGGAGGAGAGGACGGCGCTCCGAAGACAGACGCCGGCGGAGAGATGGGGCAGCTGAAGCAGCGAATGCGGAATGGGGGCGGAGATCGGTACCGCGTGCTACTGTTGGACCACGAGAAGCACACCGAGGATAGAGGTGAGCAAGTGCTGACCATATCCTTCGCCTCGCTTCAGCTTGTTTCTGTGGCGACCGAAAAACGTTTTCCCTATTATTGCGGCGGAGGAGAAGAGAGAGGGAGGGGGGGAGTGGAGGAGGCGGGAGGGGTGTTGGGGAGGTGATGAGGAGGGAGCGAGGAGGAGGGTTTGCGTCATCCCAATCTCTCTGTTTCTGGTTCGGTTGTCACATATTCCTTTCGCTCTTTTCACTCTCCCTGCTCGCTCTGTGCATCAGTCGCGAAGGTACTGCCAACAGTGGTGCCGTCAGTCACGGTGGACGACGCGCGGCGTGTGTTCAACGAGTCCAGAGAGCTGGGTCAGGGGCTCGTCTGCGTTGCCATCAAGGTAACAAAGTTCTTTCATTACCCTGAGCTACTTCTGTGTGTTCTTTTTCCATAGTATGCATGGTTATGATGGGAGTTGTGGCGGCTGAATGAGGGTTCTGGGAGGGTTGTGTGATGGAGGGGGTTTATTGGGGTACTTTTAACACCAGTTTCATACATGCTTGACTTGACGGTTGTCTCCTTGCCTTGTGCAGGAACATGCTGAGTTCTATGCGCAGCACATGGCCATGAAAGGCTTGCGTTCCACTATCCAGCCTGATGGCCTAGTCATTTGATTGGAATAAGAGTTGTATCTCTATAGATGGTGGCGTAGTAGAGTTTGTCATTAATATATTTAATAATGATGGATATACGCTTACAGCTGTCACCTTATGAATGATCTAACTTTTCTTTATCCAAGAATACAACAAGCTCATGTGGCATGATACAGTCATAACCAGCTACACTGATATATCTGGCTTGTAGTTGGCAGTGTGTGGGTTGGGCTTATGACAGGACTTTTTCTGGTCAGTAAGGTTCGGTACGGTGTACCGCTGATATTGAATTATTGCCCCGAAGACGCAGGCCAAGGCTTCTGACACACACCCCTTCACACGCCCGAGCCTGACCGTTTTCCCTCCCATTCAGCTCGCCCCCGCGATACGGGAACAGGTGTAGACATTCGGCAAGATCGAAGTTCAGGCCTGCTCTCCGCCACTGTCCCGTCCGTCAAGGGTTCTCTCCTGTTTTTCCCGAACTTCCCGCGCCCATCCCGGCGCGTAACTCAAATCATCTCTCCGCTTCTCCTCCACATGATTCTTCCGCCACTCCGCTCCCCACTTCCACGTGGTTTTCTCCGGCCCTCGCTCTCCGTGACTCCGTTCCGTTGCCTCCCCCCCCCCCTCCTCCCTCCCCCCCCAACTCGAAATCACTCCACTCATCCCCCACCTCGCCAGATTCACATTCCAAGACCCGGCCTGGAGATCCCATGACCTCCAGTCATTAGGAAGGAAATTCCGAAGTTATTCTTGTAGGAAGACGTATCAGCAGCAGCAGCAGTAGTTATCTCATTTCTGTTGGCCGTCATGGCTGCGTTAGTAAGGCTCGCCTGCGGGCTTGCTATATTCTGTTTGCTGTCTGGTCTGCTTGCCGAAGCGGCCGTGCACGAGTACAATGGCGGGAAGTTCTTCCAAGCGTCCGATGCTTTCCTCTTCCGAGGCGGACGCGAAGGTCTCTTCGCATCCACGCCCGAGGCAGTTCGCCGTTGGGTGGACATCCCGAGAGGAGTCGCAAACGGGAAAGCGTACATCCGGTAGGAAAGATCTCGAGATTCTGGTAGTCTAGATGCCTTGGCAATCGGAAAAGCTTACATCACTTTGGATTCGATCCGTAGATTATTCACCAACAACAAACTTGCGTCAATGGCTGGCGAATGAACGCAACTCTCGTGAATACTGTTGGGTTTTTTATCAATCGTGAGAGAGCACAGCTCAACATTCTTTTCTCAGGAGTTTCGCAGGCTCCTGCGCGGCTGTTCCTATTGATAACTGCAGGCTCCCGCTAGAATCATGCATTACCGTCAATACCCTTCTCTTGTATGGGTTGAATTTTTCATCGTCGTATATGCAGTTTTGACAACCTGAAGTTCCATCGGCCGCTCTCCGAGGCTCAGGTGTCTCCGATCGCCGGGCAGACAGGGAGAATCGAGGCTCTGTTGTTCGAGGTGAAGGACCGCGACCGCATCGGCTATGCGTCGGCTTCCAACATCCGTGCGTTCTGCTGCTCCCCCGAGCTCGTTCAACGGACGGGATGCAACCCTGGACACATCATCGTGCGGCCGAGGGACGGCGATAACCAGGTAAGCGCTTATTTTCTTCGGATCCGCGATGTACTATCAAGTTTCGTGTGCATCTGTAAGAATCCAAAGCTTTCTGCTTTTCTGGTCTAATAGGAACGCTGTAAGGTAGGGAGGCGAACACGTATGAAAGTGATAAAAAGAATGCCCGAAGTGATCTATCAAAAAGCGACTGACCTATAGCTCGCATGGACCTAGCGGCACAGAATGCGCAGACGCCCAGCAGTAACATTAAGAGGTAATGAACGCGGAAAAAAGTTTCTCACGTGTAGGTGATAATTCGTCTAACGCTGCACTTCCTGTGACGCGTGGGGTGGAAAGAACTTTACCAGCAGTGACGCGGTGGCGTGTGGCCGTGGCTCCTCCGTTGCAAATCCATGTCACAGCTGCCGGCCGGATATATGCCCTCTAAACGATGTTCTCCATGTTCCTTCACTTTCCTTCTAACCCGGAATGATCCGCAGTGGCCCTGTGTGGTGAAGATGAACTTCATTGGCAACGACACGGCGGTGGCGGTGGCATCGTCGGAGATTCACATCACGGCGCTGGGCATGTACTACCTCTCAACCAGGTTGTTCATATTTGACCCTTTCCGCTTCCACCCTGCATGATCCACTCCATTCCACAGTGGCCCCGCGTGGTGGAAATCAACTTCATTGGCAACGACACGGCGGTGGCGGTGGCGCCGTCGGAGATCCACATCACGGCGCCGGGCATGTACTACCTCTGGTTCGTCATCTGCGACAAGAGCCTCGCTGGCGTGGCCGTCACGGGCACGACCATCTGGAAGAACCCGGGCGGGTATCTGCCCGGCATGATGATGCCGTACCTCAACTTCTACGCGCTCATGTCCGTAGTGAGTGGTATGACGTGTGCCATTGTAACGGGGTGACATTTCAGTCGCCCTAAAGTCACTGGCACGACCGTGTGAAAGAACCCGGGCGGGTATCTGCCGGGCATGATGATGCCCTACCTAAACTTCTACGCGCTCTTGTCCATGGTGAGTCTTCTTCTCTTGGCTTGATTGGATTCCGGTTTCGAAGTTTGAGCAGCGGACTTGTACGCGCTCATATCCATGGTGGCAAAGCTATCCTTTTGAGTGTATTAGAGGCAGTTCTAAAGCAGAAGAACCTGACTTGTACGCGCTGGTAACTGTGTACCCCCTGGCCGTGGCCGGTATCCCCTCCAGGCGTACCTGGTGCTGGGCGTGGTGTTGTTCTTGCCGTGAGCGCGTTTCTTGCGCAAAACTCCTACTCCCCTCCACCCGCCCCACACTCCCTTCCGCCCGCTCCCCCCTCCCACCCCCATCCCCACCTCTCCCTCGCTCCTCCCCCCCCCCCCCATCCCCCCAGGCGTATCTGGTGCTGGGCGTGGTGTGGTTCATGCAGTACGCGCGCTTCTGGCGCGACATCCTGCAGCTGCAGAACTGCATCACGGCCGTCATCGCGCTCTCCATGCTCGAGATGGCCACCTGGTACTTCGACTACGTCAACTTCAACGCCGGCGGCTTCCGCCCCTACGGGACCACCATCTGGGCCGCCACGCTCGGCGCGCTGCGCAAGGCGGTGTCGCGCGTGCTGGTGTTGATTGTCGCGATGGGGTATGGCGTGGTGCGGCCGACGCTGGGCGGGCTGTCAGGAAAGGTACGCTTCAAGAATGCACGGCAAGGGAGGGGAAGAGGAGGGGGAGGGGGATGTGAAGGGGAGGGGGATGTGAGGGGGAGGGGGATGTGAGGGGGAGGGGGATGTGAGGGGGAGTTCTGGGCGCTCTCCATGCTCGAGATGGCCACCTGGTACTTCGACTACGTCAACTTCAACGCTTCCGGTTCCCGCCCCTACGGGACCACCATCTGGGCCGCCACGCTAGGCGCGCTGCGCAAGGCCGTGTCGCGCGTGCTCGTGCTGATCGTGGCGATGGGGTATGGCGTGGTGCGGCCGACGCTGGGCGGGCTGTCAGGGAAGGTACGCCCAGGATGGGGGGAAAGGTGGGGGAGAGAAGCACAAGGATGGGGAGGAGAATGTGAGGAGGTGTTGCGTAAGGGAAGGGGGGAACGTAAGGGGGGAGGTGTTTGGGAAGAATGAGTGGGTATCATGGGCGCTTGGGCTGGTGAGGTGAGAAAGAAGAGTGGAAAACATGGGGTGACGGGGGAAAGGGAAGGAAGTGTGGCGAGTGTGGAAGGGAATGCGAGGGAGGGTGAGGGGGAAGCAGAAAGAGGGTGAAGGGGACGGAAGATGGAACGCAGGGTGAGGAAACTTGTAGGGGGGAAGTGATAGGGGCTGGATTGGGCGGAAGTAATTGAGGGGGTAAAGATGGTAGAGAAGACGTGAAGTGACTCTCAGCAACTGTGGGGACGACCTATGAGCCACACGGGCTTCCTGTTTCCCCATTCGAACGCGTCCCCCTCCCTCCCCACCTCCCGTCTCCTTACACCAAGTGATGGCGCTAGGTGCGGGGTACTTCTGTGCGGTGGAGCTGGTGGACGTGATGCAGAATGTGGGGGCGCCTGTCCTGCCTCTTTCTCTCTGTAACCCTCCTCCCCACACCCCTTTCTCACCCCTCCCCCGCAGGTTATGGCTTTGGGTGCAGGTTACTTCTGTGCAGTGGAGCTGCTGGACGTGATGCAGAACGTGGGCGCCATCGACGACCTGAACAGCAGCGAGCGCCTCTTCCTCGTGCTGCCTGTCGCTGTGCTCGACGCCATCTTCATCCTCTGGATCTTCTCCTCGCTCTCCAAGACTCTCTCGCTGCTGCAGGTATGGTCGTAATGTTGTGGAGGGGGGGGGCGGCACAGTGCTCTTGTTGCTCCTGGGTTCCTGGGTGGGAGTGTGTGTGCAAGGATAAAAGAATGGCCGTGCTCGACGCATCTTCATCCTCTGGATCTTCTCCTCGCGCTCCAAGTCGCTCTCGCTGTTGCAGGTGGGTTCAGTGCGGATGGTGTAGCTGCAGGTACGGCCACATTGCGTGCTGTTGTTGCAGGTCCGGTCATACTAGGTGGGGCACAGTGCTCGCGTTCCTAAGCGTCTGTGGAGACTCAGGGGAGATTGGGTAAAACAGGTTGCAAATAGGGGATGAGGGGACGATGACCGTCTTGTAAGTTGGCTCATTCCGCTTGATTTGAGTGAATGAGCAGCCACAGTTTGTGCCAGCCTATGAGATTGGCTGGAATGATGCTTTTCCTTCGATCTCTCTGTATCTGACTTCGCATGCCTATCCATGCCCTTTCATGTCCATTCATGCCCGTTCATCCCCATTCATTCCCCCCTGCCTCCTTCCCCCCCTCGCCCCACCAGACGAAGCGCACAGGGTCAAAGCTGGAGCTGTACCACATTTTCACCAACGGCATGGCGCTGGCCGTGCTGGTGTCGGTTGCATGAAAGGGCATTCTCTAATGTTCCATTCTCCCCTGACCCAACCCCCCTGCCCCACCCCCCGCTTCCTTTTTCTCCCTGTCGAAGCGCACAGGGTCGAAGCTGGAGCTGTACCGCAAGTTCATGCCTTCATATGCCCCTTCCCCCTACCCCCCCGACACCCCCCACACCCCCCCCCCCCCTCCTCCCCCCTTCTCTCCCCTGTTTACTTCCGTTGGCCGCCAGACGAAGCGCACAGGGTCGAAGCTGGAGCTGTACCGCAAGTTCACCAACGGCATGGCTCTGGCCTGCTGGTGTTGGTTGCATGGAAGGGCATTCCCCAATGCTCCATTCTCCCCTGCCTCATCCCCCCTGCCCCACCCCCCGTTTCTTTCTTCTCCCAGACGAAGCGCACAGGGTCGAAGCTGGAGCTGTACCGCAAGTTCACCAACGGCATGGCTCTGGCCGTGCTCGTCTCTGTAGCCTGGATCGCATACGAGGTGCGCACTGAACCACACTGCACCCGTGCTTGTTCGCTACACGAGATTATGTTGCTTGTCTCTGTGCTGATCCTGTTTGGCCCAATCCACATGTTGGTCTGATCCTCCTCTGTTTGTCTTTGTCCTCGAATGCATGTGCGGCCATCAGTCTCAAAACTGTCAATCTGTGTTGTGTAATGTCTCAAACCGTGTGTGATCTCCCATCTGTTTCTTCGCATCTTCCCATCTGCCCCTCCCTGTCTGCTCAACCCTCATCCAGATGTATGTGCGGCTGTCGGACCCGTACAATGAGAGGTGGGAGGCGGATTGGATCACGGGGTGCTTCTGGCACCTGCTGCAGTTCGTGCTGCTCTGCGCCATCTGTGTGCTCTGGGCGCCCTCCCTCAACTCCACCAGGTGTGTTGTGTACTCACACATGAATGTGGTTAAGTTGGTGTTTGTACTCTCCAACACTGCGGGCAAGTATCAAGCTCTCCCACACTTCTGGCACCTGCTGCAGTTCGTGCTGCTCTGCGCCATCTGTGTGCTCTGGGCGCCCTCCCTCAACTCCACCAGGTGTGTTGTGTACTCACACATGAATGTGGTTAAGTTGGTGTTTGTACTCCCCGACACTGCGGGCAAGTATCAAGCTCTCCCACACTTCTGGCACCTGCTGCAGTATGTGCTGCTCTGGGCCATCTGCGTGCTCTGCGCGCCCTCACTCAACTCCACCAGGTGTGTACATAACGTTCATGCTCCCCTCCTCCAGGGGCACGCACTTCTCCTGCTCTTGCTTCTGAGCCTCATGTTCGCGCTCGCTCACACTGCTATTATTGTTCTTCCACACTGCTGCGTCAGTTACTGTGACAGTGGCTCGTTTCGCTTGATGATGTAACCTTGCAACTAATCCGACCTTTGTACCGCTGTTTGTCCAGATACGCATATTCGGAGGATGCTCCAGAGGATGATGATGACGTGGCGCTTACGTCAGCATCAGTGGCTTCAGCGAAAGCAGAGGCAGGGTCTGCAGCAGAGAAGAAGCCGATAAACACGGATGTGTTTTCGCTAGAAGATGAGGTTGAAGAGGGGAAACTGGAGTGAAGGTGGTCAATGATGCGTGATACTTAGCAACGGTGCTTGACAAATATAGCACGCAGGGTAGGATGGTTGATTTGATAGTTCAGATGTGTCGAAATATAAGTATTTCGTTGTACGCTACTAGTACCGCCACAAATAAAGAAGGCTGTACGGAGTAAGTTTGCCTACATTGGTGTCCTTTCCAACATATTTCCGTGCTAACACTGTAGCGGGGATTACACCATACAGCGGATTTTCTGTGTGGAACATCGAGAAACTTTTTCACTCTTGTGCTTGACGTCTTAAAGCCCGAGTCTAGAATAGTAAGGGTTCAACTTCAAGATTCTTGAACTTGTGTTCGTCAAGAACAGGGTAACCAGGTTCAGAAAGCTGATCTCTCGCGACTCACCGAGAAGGGAGCTGGTGGGCCAGAAGGTGATTGGCCAAATGCCCCTCAGCAAAAACACCAACGAGCCTCGCGAGAAACAAGCAAGGACAAGTACCACTGTTCACACTTTCGGAACTTGAAACTCGAGAACACCTTTCTAGACTCGTAGTATAGTGGGCTCCATAGCCCAAGTTCTCGTCAGTAGCCAGCATAGTTACGCCCATCTCCCCGCGCTATGCTAAGACGTTAGTAGCACATACAGATGAAACTTCCCGGCGACTTTTTCGCGCATAACAAATCCGATCTCGTAGCCATGAACAAAGACAGGACCCTCAGATTGATCGCCACCGTGAGAATCACTCGTCGCCACTGAAGGTTATCCCAGTCCGCACTCAATGCCGGTCCGCAATAACTCAAGGCCCGCCCTCACTCCCGTCGTTCACTCCCGTCGTTCTCTCTCTCCCGTCAAACTCTTTCTCCCATCGCGCTCTCACTCCCATCGCTCTCTCACTCCCGCAACGCTCTCACTCCCGTCGCTCTCTCACTCCCGTCGCTCTCTCACTCCCGTCGCTCTCTCACTCCCGCAACGCTCTCACTCCCGTCGCTCTCTCACTCCCGTCACGCTCTCACTCCGTCTCTCTCACTTCCGTCACGCTTTTACTACCGTCGCTCTCTCACTCCCGTCGCTCTCTCGCTTCCGTCGCGCTCTCACTACCATCGATCTCTCACGCCCGCAACGCTCTCACTCCGTCGCTCTCTCACTCCCGTCGCTCTCTCATTCCCGTCGCTCTCTCACTCCCGTCGCTCTCTCACTCCCGTCGCTCTCTCACTCCCGTCGCTCTCTCACTTCCGTCGCACTCTCACTCCCGTCGCTCTCTCACTTCCGTCCCGCTCTCACTCCCGTCACCCACGCACGTCGCTCGCACATGTCGCTCATATCTGCTCCTTCCCCCCTCTTCCCCCTTGCGCCCTTCCCCGTTCCTCCTCTTCCCATCTTCCTTTGTCACTCACACACGTCACACACGACATGCTCACACATGTTCCCATCTCCCCTCTCCTCCCTTCCCTCTCCGCTGCTCTCCTCCTTTCCCTCTCTGTCCCCCTCCTTCCCTTCTCTGTCTTCGCCTCGCCGCCCTCCCACTCATCCCCTCTCCTTCCTTTCCCTCTCAGCCCCTCTCCTCCTTTCCCTCTCAGCCCCTCTCCTCTTTTCCCTCTCAGTCCCTCTCTTCCTTTACCTCTCTCCCGTTTTCTCCCTTTATCTCTCCTCTGCCCGCTCTGCCCTTTCCTCTACCTTCCCTATCCTTATGTCCACCAACATGCCCTTTGATGAGCTCGCCACGTTTCTCCCTCCCTGTTTCTTGTTCTTCACTCCGTTTCCCCCATTGTCCTTCCCTATCTTTCCCCCCGGTCATTCCCTCCATCTCACTTATTGTCACTGCCTCCCTTTCCCATTGTCCTCTCCTCCGTTTCGCCCCTTTTTCCTTCCAACCTTTCCCCCATGTCCTTCCTTCCGTATTCCCCCTTATTTCTTCCTCCCTGTCCCACTTTCCCTCCTTCTCAAGACCCTTGTCCGTCCCTCGGGCTCCCCGCTTCAGCTCTCCCTCCCTTTCCCCCCTGTTCTGCCCTCCCAGTTGCTGGTGTCTCCCTCCCTTTCGCCCAAGTCCTTCCCTCCGTTTCCCCCCTTGTTCGTTGCTCCGTATCCCCGTGTGCTGGATCCGTTTCTCCTCTTGTCTCCATCTTTTTCCCTTTCCGCAGCTCCCGCCCCTCCGATTTCCCCCCTGGTTTGCCCCTCCGTTGCCTTTCTCCCCTTCATCCCTCTTGCCCTTTTCCGATCATCTGTTGCCCCATGCCCCACGCCCCATGCCCCATGCCCCATGCCTCACACCTCATATCTCAACACCCTGCCACTGTGCCCTTCATGGTCAGATAGGGTTCCTGCCGGCGGCAGCAGCAGCCAACCTCACAGAGGAAGTGGTGGTTCGCTTTGACTGCCTTTCCAACGCTCGAGAGCTCTCACGCCCACGACCACAGGCACACCACACACCCCTGACACTGAGGTAGTGGCCTCCAACAGGGGGTAGTTGGGAGGTCAATCAAATAGTCTCTTTCGTTTGCCTTCTCTGCATTGGTATCACGTCACACTCTTCTACCATCTTTCCACCACCCATTCCACCATACCCACCCTGACACTCATCCCTCACCCTTCCACTCTGTGCCTTACTCACTCCTTCGCTGTTTCTGTCCTTCTCTCACTTTCCCTTTGCTCTCTGTCATCTTGCTCACCCTGTTCCTTGCTCACTCATACATTTGTTGTTTCTGTCCTTTGCTCGCTGTCCCCTGCTCACCCTTCAATCTTTGCCCCTGCCTCGCTGTTGCATTCCTTGTCATTCCCCTCCCATTCCTTCCTCTGCACGCGATCCGTGCTGCCCTTCACCGTATGCTTCCCTGCTGCTCAGCCATCTCACATCTAATTTCCTGATTTGTGTTTGTACAGGTCCGCTATGCATCAGTGCTGGTGCTGTGGTGATGTGTTGGTTGGCAGTTTGATAGTACTATAATGACTTGCCATGCATTGTTTGGATCTTGGATGCTTTGTTATACCGGTATTACAAACTTTGAGCTGAGAGCAGCCGTGCACATGACCACTACAAAAAAGTGCAACAAAATTCGCAGTTGATTATCGACGCGAAGAAGACAGCTAGGAAATGTATTTTTTTTTTCCCCCGTTCTTGTTTGCTACACTGCATGCAACCTTGGCCTGTGGTGTTGGGGGCCTGGGACCTGTACACTGCGTGGTTGGAGATGGGTATGAGTGAAAGGGGGAACAGATTGAGCAGCAGAAGAGAGAGTGAACAGGAAGAAACATAGCGAACAGGGGGAAAGAGAGTGAGCAGAGAGGAACAGAGCGAGTAGTTGGGGAGAGTATGGGCAGGAGAAACACAGTGAGCGGGAGAGAATGAGCAGGGGAAACAGATTGACCCAGGAAAATAAGGACGGAAAGATGAGCAGACTGAATGGGAGGGGGATGGGAGAGCGATGGGAGGGGGATGGGAGGGGGATGGGAGGCCGATGGGAGGGAGATGGAAGGGGGATGGGAGGGGGATGGGAGGGGGGATGGGATGGGGATGAGAGGGGGGTGGGAGGGGGATGAGAGGGGGGTGGGAGGGGGATGGGAGGGGGGCGGGAGGGGGATGGGAGGGGGATGGGAGGGGGATGGGAGGGAGATGGGAGGGGGGATGGGAGGGGGATGGGAGGGGGATGGGAGGGGGATGGGAGGAGGATGGACGGGGGGTGGGAGGGGGATGGGAGGGGGATGGGAGGGGGATGGGAGGGGGATGGGAGGGGGATGGGAGGGGGATGGGAGGGGGATGGGAGGGGGATGGGAGGGGGATGGGAGGGGGATGAGAGGGGGGTGGGAGGGGTTGGGAGGGGGATGGGAGGGGGATGGGAGGGCGGCGGGAGGGGGATGGGAGGGCGATGGGAGGGGGATGGAAGGGGGATGGGAGGAGGATGGGAGGGGGATGGGAGGAGGATGGGAGGGGGATGGGAGGGGGATGGGAGGGGGATGGGAGGGGGATGGGAGGGGGATGGGAGGGGGATGGGAGGGGGATGGGAGGGGGATGAGAGGGGGGTGGGAGGGGGTTGGGAGGGGGAGGGGAGGGGGATGGGAGGGCGGCGGGAGGGGGATGGGAGGGCGATGGGAGGGGGATGGAAGGGGGATGGGAGGGAGATGGGAGGGGGATGGGAGGGGGATGGGAGGGGGATGGGAGGCGGATGGGAGGGGGATGGGAGGAGGATGAGAGGGGGATGAGAGGGGGATGGGAGGGGGATGGGAGGGGGATGGGAGGGGGATGGGAGGGGGATGGGAGGGCGACGGGAGGGCGATGGGAGGGGGACGGGAGGGCGATTGGCGGGGGACGGGAGGGGGACGGGAGGGGGACGGGAGGGGGATGGGAGGTCGACGGGAGGGGGAAGCGAGGGCGACGGGAGGGGGAAGCGAGGGCGACGGGAGTGGAAAGCGAGGGCGACGGGAGGGGAAAGCGAGGGCGATGGGCGGGGGAAGCGAGGGCGATGGGCGGGGGAAGCTGGTGCGACGGATGGGGGAAGCTGTGGCGACGGACGGTGGATGCGAGATATGGACGGACGGGGGAAGCGGAGTCGACAACGCTCTAATTTCTCATCTTGCACAATATCTCCTTGCTTCACACTCGCATTCGAGCCACATTCCCTACCTCGGTCCTCGGATTCCTCTCGATTCCGGCATAAAAGCATATGTTCTCACATGTCATACCCAGCTATTTTACTCTGGATACTTCATATTTTCCTAACACTGATGCTCTATCTGGTCTTACGCATGTTTTTCTCAGGCTGCTCAAAGAGAGTGCTTGTGGACATGGCGGAAATCCGGGTTGTGAGCTTCATGAGAGTGGTTGGGTTTGGTTTTGTCGAAGCTGTTTGTTCAAGTTTCGGGAAGTTGAAGTTGAAGTTGCGATACACTTTCGGGCATTCTGCCTTCGCCAACTTCCTCAGGCGAATTTTTCTCTCGTCAGCCTTCGCGCAACCCTTTTCAAGTTCAGTATTTATGAACCCTTGCCATTCTAGGCGCGGGCTTTAACGCATGATTCTTGCTAGGAGCTTGATCTGACGGATTCCTGTCCTGTCCTCAGGCATACCCGTCAGGTCGGGTTTCCGGTTTTCACACTTCCTGTCGTCAGACAGACAGGAGACGATTGTCGATCCGGTCGTTCCTCCTCGGTCCGCCTTTATTTCGCTTCTTTGAAGGGTGTGACGATCTATGCCTTTTTAACGCGGGTTCTGACAGCCAACTTGGGAGTAGCACCTGGCAGGCATATAGTTCTGTACCGCATTTAACGGATCGACCATGTCAGTCCACCGTATCCTCCGCCGTTCCTCCCGCTACCCGCACCACTGCGCGTGGCTCGCGCGCCATCTCGGATCCGCCTCCGCCGCCCCCCACGTGTCCCAGCTTTCAACTCTTTCCGCCAATTCCGCCGTTTCCGCCGCTTCCGTATCCGCTTCTCCGCACAGACAATGCTCGTCCGTTCACGGGTTTCCGCGCACCTTCCAGCAGCAAGCTTGCAGCTTCCAGTTGAGTGGCTCGTTGAACCACATCCTCGCGCGTGGATTCCTACACTCCGTTCTGTATTCTGTGTTATTGCGTTCATCTACGAGCACTGGTGTGGTTTTCAGGGCAGTGGCGTGCATGGTAGCGCGGAGATGAATCATAACTCTGAGGACGTCTTGAGATGTCGCTATGAACTTGTTAGGTCCCTAATAAGCCACTGTTATGCATGTTTTGTTGTTTTGGTTCGCTCCTTAAGCAGGTCTGTAGCAACCCTGACCACATCCGCGTTATTGTCATCAAGTGGCGATGGTGCCACCACTGCAGCCACTGCTGCCGATCCCGCTACAGCACCAGCAGACACTGATGATGAATCCTCTGCCGTATCAGGTAAATCTGGACCTTGTTCCTCTGATTCCTCCCCCATTCTAAATCATTTATCCACTCAACATCATCGTTCGGAAGTTGACTCAAAAGACGGCTTTCTCTCCTTACCCTTGCACAGAGCAGGTATTCAAGAGCCAAGGACTTGTCGCCACCCAAGATGACTTTTGACTCGGTTCAGAAGTTGCTTTGCGTCTCCCACCGTCTCTCCCTCTTACTCTCCTTGTTGTTTTCCTGATTGCAGAGCAGGTATCGGAGGACGAGTTGACGCCAGCCAAGGTGGCGGAGCTCTTGGATCGCCACAGTGTGGGGCAGGCCTCTTTCTTTGGTGCCGCATGAATGCACTCACCCTCTCCTCTCTGACTCCCTCTTCCTCCCTGCACCTCTTTGTCCCTCCCCCCACGCCTCTCCCTCCCTCCTTTCCCCTCCCCACAGAGCAGGTATCGGAGGACGATCTGACGCCAGCCGAGGTGGCGGAGCTCTTGGATCGCCACAGTGTGGGGCAGGCCTCTTTCTTTGGTGCCGCATGAATGCACTCACCCTCTCCTCTCTGACTCCCTCTTCCTCCCTGCACCTCTCTGTCCCTCCCCCCACGCCTCTCCCTCCCTCCTTTCCCCTCCCCACAGAGCAGGTATCGGAGGACGATCTGACGCCAGCCAAGGTGGTGGAGCTCTTGGATCGCCACATTGTGGGGCAGGCTCAGGCCAAGCGAGCCGTTGCCATCGCCCTGCGCAACAGGTGCGGGTCCAGCTGCACTTGGCTTGAGTCAACGGTTTGCTTAACCTTGGTGTAAGCAAGCAGCAGTTTTCTAGCGACCCTGCTCTTTCTCGAATGATTTCTTTCTTCCTTTCGCTTGTTGTTCAGTTATGGTGTGCGTACATTCGTAGATTATAAACCGTGCGTTCCATTCCTCACCTCCACCTTTTCCCTCCACCTCCGACCACTGCCCTCCTCCCACATCTGCCCTCCCTCGCACCCACCCGCGCCCTCCCTCCCACCCCTGCCTTTCCTTCTCCCCCCGTCCTTGCGAGTCTGCGAGCAACAGGTGTCGCAGGAAGCGCATCAGTGGGTGCATGAGGGGCGATGTGGTGTGGTGCCCAAGAGCACAAGAGCATTTGCATGGTCGGTCCCACCAATGGCGGCAACACTCTCAAGACGTCTCAGAAACTAGTCTCTCCCCCCTCCCACCGACCCCTGCCCTGCCCCCTGCCCCTGCCCTGCCTCCCTCCCGTGCCTTCCCTCGCGCACCTGCCCTCCCTCCCCTTGCCTCACTCACCGCACTCGCGTTGGACAATAGGTGGCGGCGGAAGCGCAGCAGTGGGGCGATGAGGGATGAGGTGGTTCCAAAGAACATCCTCATGGTCGGCCCCACCGGCTGTGGGAAGAGCCCTGACACGTCTTCCCCCCCACCCCTGCCTTCCCCCCCACCCCTATCCCCCTAAGGTGGCGGCGGAAGCGCATTAGTGGTTCCATGAGGGACGAGGTTGTTCCCAAGAACATCCTCATGGTCGGCCCCACCGGCTGTGGGAAAACCGAAATCGCACGGCGCCTTGCCAAGCTCATCCATGCGCCCTTTGTCAAGGTGCGCTGATGCCACGTTTGAGCCGTCCTCCTGAGCAAACCAGTTGTAAGTTGACTCGCGAGGTGGTGCCAAAGAACATCCTCACCTCATGGTCGGCCCCACCGGCTGTGGGAAAACCGAGATCGCCCGGCGCCTTGCCAAGCTCATCCATGCGCCCTTTGTCAAGGTGCGCTCGCTCGCCATGCCAAGTTTGAGCCGTCCTGACTAGACCACCAATGAGTCGGCTCAAAAGTTGCCCAGGTGGTTTTTGAGAATTCTAAAAAACCAGCTCACAAGTTGCCCAGGCTTGTTTATGCCCCCTCGTCAAAGCGCTGACCAAGGCCATCGGCCGAAACGCGCATACGTGCGAACGAGTTAGATCTGCTGGATCTGAGTCGAAACTATCTTCCTATACTGAGTCGGCTCACAAGTTGCCCCGGCTCGTTTGTACTCCCCTCGTCAAAATGTGCTCGCCTGGTTTGAGCCACCAAGTGTGTGTGGGTGTGTGGTGGGGTCTATGTGTGGGTGTGTCTCGGTGTGTTTGTAAGTGGGTGTGGGTGTGTGTGTGTGTATGCATACATGCGTGCTTGCGTGCTTGTGTGTGTGTGTCTGACGACAGGTAGAAGCGACCAAGTTCACGGAGGTGGGCTTGTAGAGAGGGTTTTTTTGAGACGTCTCAAAAAAACATACATGCGTGCTTGCTTGCTTGCGTGCTTGTGTGTCTCTGATGGCAGGTAGAAGCCACCAAGTTCACGGAGGTGGGCTTTCACGGGCGGGACGTGGACCAGATCATTCGAGACCTGCTGGAGAACGCCATTCAGCTGCAGCGGCAGAAGGTGTGCGTTCTCTTCACCTTTCTGAGTTCGCATCAGAACCGTATTGGAGTTACTCGTTTAAGGGCAAGTCTGGGTCTGTGGTTCCATGCGTTTTTTTCAAACCTCTTTTTCCCTCGCTGTGCCCCTACCACTGTCCACTCCCCGAACCTCCGTGTCAGGCTCGGGCCAAGGCGGCGAAGGAGGTGGAGGAGGTGGTGGAGAACAAGATTCTAGACCATCTGCTGGGCGCGCTACAGCCGGGCGCGGTGAGTCAAGCAGGTCACTGGGAGAGCTTGTAAGTCTGTTTCCCGGTATCCCGGTATCCCGGTATTCCGGTTTCTTGGTTTCCCAGTTTCCCGGTATCCCGGTATCCCGGTTTCCCGGTATCCCGGTATCCCGGTTTCCCGGTTTCCCGGTTTCCCGGTTTCCCGGTTTCCCGGTATCCTCGTATCCCGGTATCCCGGTATCCCCGTATCCCGGTATCCCGGTATCCCGGTCTCCCGGTCTCCCGGTGTCCCGGTGTCCCGGTGTCCCGGTGTCCCGGTATCCCGGTATCCCGGTATCCCGGTTTCCTGGTATCCCGGTTTCCCGGTATCCCGGTATCCCTGTGTCCTGGTATCCCGGTATCCCGGTTTTCCGGTTTCCCGGTATCTCTTGGGTGCGGGCGACTGGGGAGGGAGAGTGAAATGGGGGAAGGGAGGGAACGTGGAATAATCCGGTCAGACCAAGCGAAGGAACGATCAAGTGAGGGTTCAGAATCTGCTTTTGAGTCGACTTTGTTTGAGATTAGTTTTGAGAATTCTCAAAACTAGACTCAAAAGAAGGAACGATCAAGTGAGGGTTCAGAATCTTAGTCCCCGCCACCTCCTCTCGATGGCACTGCATTGACTGCATTGACTGCATTGACTGCATTGACTGCATTGACTGACGAGCTAACCAGTTGACTGACCATATGACTAGTTGACTACATGAATTTGACAAGACAAGTTACCCCGTTTGACCGTGTTGACCTGCTTGACTCACTGCTGCTGATTCCTTATTCCTCACCCTTCCGCACCCGCCCCACAATTCTCTCCCTTCTGCCTGCTGGACAGGGAGGGAGTGTTGGACGACAGGCGAGTGCACATGGAGCTGCCTGACGTTGCTCCTCCTAGTCATGCTGCTGTTGTTTCTTCTGCCGCTTCTTTGGCTGCTGATGACGCAGCTGCTGATGCCCATCCCCTCCCCCTTCCTCCCCGCCCGCTTCCCCCCCAGACACCCCCTTCCAGGGAGACCTTTCGTCTGCTGTACAGGGAGGGGGTGTTGGACGACAGGCGAGTGCACATGGAGCTGCCTGACGCCGCTCCCTCGGGTGGTCTGGGCGGGTTCGCCATCGACATGTCGGGCGCTGCAGGGCTCAACGTGCACGACTTCGTGCAGCGGGTGGGTGGGTGGTGTCTTCAGGGAATATAGGTGTGCGTGAGTACAAGGGTGTGTTGGACGAGAGGCGAGTGCACTTTGCTCCCTTGGGAGGTCTGGGCGGGTTCGCCATCGACATGTCGGGCGCTGCAGGGCTCAACGTGCACGACTTTGTGCAGAGGGTGAGTAGGGTGGGTGGGTGCAGGTGGGTGCAGGTGTTGCTCCTTGGTGACCTGCGGCGGGGTGCCTGACATGGCGGATTCGCCATCGACATGCCAGGAGCAGCAGGGCTCAACGTGCATGACTTCGTGCAGAGGGTGGGTGCACGAGTGCAGAGGGTGGGAAAAGAAGGACCTGTGGGTACACTCCAACTCCCTCCTTTCCGTCTAGAGCCAATTCTAAAGTCGCCCTCCGTTCCCCTCCCCCCTTTTTTTTCTCGTGGGATCAGATGGAGCGAGTGGTGAAGGGGGCACGGAGGGAGAAGAAGGATTTGACAGTGGCGGAGGCGAGGGCAGCGCTGACCGACGCAGAGATGGAGAAACGCCTGTCGTCTGAATCGCTCGTGAAGGACGCCATTCAGGTGCGAGGGGCTCATGGGAGTTGGCGTGGCGATTGCCAAGGGTGCTTGCATTGGTGTAGGTTTGCACGAAGGGGAATGAGTGACGCAGTTGACAGTAGATGGGGCGAGGGCAGCACTGACCTACGCAGAGATGGAGAGCGCCTGTTGTCTGAATCGCTCATGAAGGATGCCATTCAGGTGCGAGGCGGGATGAGGAAGTGACGATGCGTGTTTGGTATTGTGCATGGAGAAGGGCGGAGGAGCTGCGTTTAGGTGAGAGGAAGTGGCTGTGGTGAGGGGGGAGGGGTGTGGCGAGGGGTGGAGCAGTGGCAAAGGGTGCTGGCAGTGGAGAAGTGCTTAGTGTTTTTGAGAAGTCTCAAAAGCAACCTGCAAAGAGATGAGATTTACAAGAATACTTGTTCCTCCCCCTCTTCCCATGTCACCCTCCGTCTCTGTTCCCAACCACCGCCACAGGCAACGGAGTCAGAGGGCATAGTGTTCATCGATGAGATTGACAAGATCGTGCATTCCAGCGACACACAACGCAATGATTCTCCTGCCCCTGTGCTGTGCTCCATGCCCCGTGCATGCCCCCCATTCTCCAGGCAACGGAGTCAGAGGGCATAGTGTTCATAGACGAGATAGACAAGATCGTGCACTCCAGCGACACGCGGCATGGTGCCGATGCGAGTGCTGAGGGTGTTCAGCGCGACCTGTTGCCCATCATTGAGGGCAGGTAGGGCGTTATGCGTGGTACGGTACGTTAGGGTACGGTACGATACGGTATGGTACGGTATGGTACGGTACGGTATGGTACGATAGGGTACGGTACGATAGGGTACGGTATGGTATGGTAGAGCATGCTGTCCATTATTTAAGGCAGGTTGTTTCCCAACATGGTACAGTGTGCATTGTATGGCCATGTATGGCTATGCATGGCTATGGATGGCCATGTATGGCTATGTATGGCTATGGCATGCTTCGTATGGCATGGTTTTGCATGAACGGAGAATGGAGGTGCGACCTGCTTCTCTACAGCTGACCCCATCCTGGCCCATGCTTCCCACATCCCTCCTCTTTCTGCCCATGCTCCCCTCCCTCATCAGTGTGGTATCCACCAAGCACGGCAACGTCAACACGGATCACATTCTCTTCATCGCTAGCGGTGCCTTCACCTCGTGCCGCCCCTCCGACATGCTGGCAGAGCTGCAAGGCCGCCTGCCCATAAGGGTGGAGCTCAAAGGGCTGACCAGAGAGGTGAGGAGCAATATGGAACTAATATTAAGGAGATAGGGTGAAGGTGCTTTCACCGAGTGCCGCCCCTCCGACATGCAGAGCTGCAGGGGCGCCTGCCCATAAGGGTGGAGCTCAAGGGGCTAACCAGAGAGGTGAGAGTTGACGGGCTCTAAAGGGATGTAGGGTGAAGTGCAGGTGGCTCCTCCGCCTGCCGCCCCTCCGACATGCATTGAGGTCGTTTTTGAGGCGCCTCAAAAACCACCGCCTGCCACCCCTCCGACATGCTGGCAGAGCAGCAAGTGCGACGTTTTTTTCTCAGAGAAACGATCGTGAAATGACTCTTCCTCTCCCCTCCTCTCTTTCTCTTTCCCCCTCACCGCAGGATCTGTATCGCATTCTCACAGAGCCCGAGGCGAACATGATTCGGCAGCAGCAGCTGCTGATGGCCACGGAGGGGGTTGAGCTTGTATTCACCGAGTCTGCCATCCGGGAGGCTGCCGCCATGGCTGCTGAGGTGCGTTGAGGTCAGGTTAGGCATGCGCTGCTGTGTGGTTGCGGTGCTGAGGTGTAGTTGCGCTGCTGCATGCATTGTGGTCTGTGAGGTGCGTTGGTACGCCTGCCTCCCCAAGCCTGCTCACAGCCTTCTGGTGTGCTTCCTATCATCTCGAAAACAGTCTCTTGGTGCTCCCAGGATATTGCAACGATGCTTTGCGAAAGAGTTTTCTCCCATGTGTGCGTGTGTGCTTGCATGCATGTGTGGATGGGTGGATGGATGGCAGATCAATCACACGCTGGACAACATTGGTGCAAGAAGGTTGCACACGGTGAGTATGACTGTTGAGACCGGGTGAGACTGGGTGAGAGGATAGCTGTTGAGATGCCTTGTTGCGAGTTTGCATGTGGTGTGTAAGACTCAAGTGAGACTTCCGCCTTGCATCCCCTTGCATACCCTTGCATTTTCCCGTGCACCTTACTCCCTTGCACCGATGGCACCATGGCAACCATGGAAGGTGTTGGAGCGCGTGGGGGAGGACATCAGCTTCCGGTCGACCACCCGAGCTCTCTCCTATGGTTACTTCCCTTCATGCTCCGTCCCATCCCATCCTTTCACCTCCTCCCCCCCATGCACCATGGCACCATGGCAGGTCTTGGAGCGCGTGGTGGAGGTCATCAGCTTCCAGTCGACCATCCGTCCTATGCTTACGTCCCCTCACATCCCGCATGCTCTCTCCCATCCTCTCATCACCTTGCATGCATCCCCTCCCATGGCACCACGCCAGGTGTTGGAGCGCGTGGGGGGGGACATCAGCTGCCATGCGCTCGAGAGAGCTAGCAGCATCTCAAACCCCCATGCTCACCTTCCCCCATCGCCTTGCAACCCCTTGCATGCCCTTGCACCCCCTTGCATGCCCTTGCACCCCCTTGCATGCCCTTGCATGCCCTTGCATCTCCTCACGCGCTTCCCCTCCCATTGGCACCATGGCAGGTGTTGGAGCGGGTGGTGGAGGACATCAGCTTCCACGCGCCCGAGAGGAAGGGGGAGACATGCGTGGTGGATCAAGAGGTGCGCCTTGCTAGAACATGCCATTCTCTCTGAAGCTTTCTGGTATCATGGCATGTGTGCAATATTGGTCCTGGATATTTGTCGGTGGAGGACAAACCGTAAGAGGTCCCTCCTGGTTTTTGTTTGACACTGTGTTTTTGCATCCACTTCCTTTGGCCCCACGCTTTTCCCTTGCCACCCCCCCCACTTGCCTCTCTCAGGATGTTCGACGGCCGCTGGGTGACTTGCTGCAGAAGGTTGATGTCTCTAAGTTCATCCTGTAACACCTACCGTGTCACATTAAAACCATATACAGTTGTTTGCATCAACACATGTACGATACTTCGTCTTAACATGTGATGTCATTTTATCACAACCCATGCAAGCCGCTGAAACTTACCATAACAGGTCATCCAATTCCTATCTCATTTACCGGAGTGCCTGACAGTCTGAATTAAGACAGGAGGCAACGCAAGTTGTCAAAATACATGGGAAATTGGTCACAAACGTATCTCTGGCTTAGAACGGCCCTACTTTCAGAAAAAGAGGAACACTCTTAACACGTCGATTTGCCCACTTTTTCTTCCTTTCCTTGCTGGACCATACGCACTTGATTGAACATAGCTTAGTGGCACATACAAGTTAGTTTTACATTCATAGAACAGATGCCATTTATTACCAGCTTGATTTAAAAAGAAACAAGCATAAAGCCCAGACAGCAGCAAGCAGGCCCAAGGCCGCGCAGACCAGTCAGCCTGGTTAGCAAGTAGTAGAAGGTTGAATTGAATGTAAGGAAGGCTAGTTAGTAGTAATGACCACTGCGCACAGCACCACACAACTTCTGCCGCCATCGCCTCCGATGCTGCTGCAGCAACTGTGGCCGTCCTTTACGGTACCTATCACCCCACCCACCCATCATCCCTTCCCTCGTCACCCTTAACCACCCGTCCACACACGCCCCACCCCCCATCCCCCAACCCCCCTCTCCACCGTTCCATTAGATTTATTTTCTGCAATTTCCTCCCCTCTTCCTCATTTGCGCTTGGCCTGCTTGGGCCCTTTGTGCTGCGCGGCTGCGACAGCGGGGTTGCCATGCCAGTTGCGCTTGCGCTGGTTGATGAACCAGTTGTTTACCTGCTTCAGCTCCAACCCCGTCTGTGCCATCAGGCCCGCCTTCTCCTCCTCCTGCATGGGTACACATGGGTACACATGGGCAGATGGACATGGAAGGAGCAGCACACTCACAATCACAAGCAAGCAGATGCAGTGTGGTTGCTGACGTGGCAAGCAAGGAGGGGGCTGCACTATAGGGTAGGGCCACGTGGCAAGCAAGCAAGCAGGGAAGGGGACGCACCGTGGGGTAGGGCCACTGGATATGCTCGTTCCACCACGCCTTGAGCACCTGCGTGGTGTTTCCTGGAAGCTTCCCCGCGCGCCTCTTGCGCATGATCTCCTCCCTCACTCCCAGCAGACGAGTGCGGAACCCCTGAGGACAGTACAGGGAGTTGCAAGGCGTTGAAAGGAGGAGAAAAGGAGTTGAAAGGAGTTTCACAGAGTTGAAAGGAGTTACAAGGAGTTGAAAGGATTTACAAGGAGTTGAAAGGAGTCGCAAGGAGTTGAAAGGAGTTGGAAGGAGTTGCAAGGATTTGAAAGGAGTTGCAAGGATTTGAAAGGAGTTGCAAGGAGTTGAAGTGCATTGCAAGAGGTTGCAATGAGTTGTGAGGCAATGGAAGCATGAAATACATAGGGCACCGTACCTCTCTACCGTATTCCTTGAGTAGTGCCTCTTCCACCGCACTCCTGTCCTGTGCTCCCCCCATGCCCATGCCCATGCTCATGCCCATGCTCCCTGTCATGTCCATGCCCATGCCCGTGTCCATCCCCATGCCCATGCTGCTATGTGTCCCCATGCTGCCATGCCCCCCCATGCCCTGCTGCATTGCCCCGAATGCCATGGGTGCACCCATGCATGCACTCCCACCCATGCCCGTGGTAGGGTGTGGTGCAGGGGGGAGCGGGAGGAGGGTGAGGGGCTGATGGGGTGCGTGCATGGATGGACTCTGCTGCTGCTGCTGTTGCTGCTGCTGATGGTGGTGGTGGTGGTGGGGATGATTCTGCTGCTGCGAGTAACCCTGGTGCTGATAGTGAAACGAGCCTGACATGCTGCTACACCCACCGCTGCCACCACCACCGTCGCCACCGCCACCACTGCCACTCCCACCAGCAGCAACAGGCATGAAGGAGTTGAGACGGTGACCATGGTACCCACTCCCTTGGCTATTGTAACCGCTGCCATGACTATTATCATACGCATGCACATGCCCATTCCCATGGCTGTTGCATGCATCCTCCAGGGCTCTAATGCCCCCATTGCTGCTGGGCCTATCCCCTCCCCCGCCTTCATCATCGGACATGGTAGCCCCAGACGCAGCAAGCTTATCAGCAGCAGTGCCCCCAGCAGCAGCAACGGCGTGCTTGAGGCGGGCGCATGTGGTAACGGCCTCCCTGGCGTGCACTCGGATGTGCTCCTCCAGTTGCTCCTTGAACGCCCGCAGCAGCTTCACAAATTGACCCTGGATTGGTTTCGAGTGAAGTGGGGCAGGGCAAAAGTGGCGGGAGGGATGAGGAAATGGAATCTGGATTGTGTGCAGAGCCCCCAGAAAAAGAAGAATCGAAACGTGAGGAGCTGTGGTGAAGCTGTGGATCTCTCTCGTGTACTGACAATGCTTATGAGAATTCTCAGAGTGGCACCTGAATGTGCTCCTCATGTGCTCAGAAGCTGCTCGTCACTGCAGCCCAGTTGTTTCAAGAGACCTCCTCTCACGTTGCAATCAGCACAAGCACACGTGTCAGATTTAACTGTGTCGTGTCAAACTCACACACGTGTCATGTCTGACTCACCATGAAGTTGTCCAGCTCAGCTTCTTCCGTATCGGACGCCAACCCCTGACCGCCACATGGCACGTTCCCATTGGCAGCATACTTCTGACCAGCCACACTTGCTGCTGCTCCTCCTCCTGCTGCTGCTGCTGCTGCTGCTGCTGCTGCTGCTGCTGCTGCTGCTGCTGCGGCGGCGGCAGTATGAGTGGAAGATGGAGAACCAGCAGCAGCAGCAGCAGCAGCAGCAGCAGGAGCACCTGATTGTGCAGGCCCGACGCCATTAGCAGAGGCGTCAGCAGTACCGTTGGTGTTAACACCAGCAGCAGCGGTGGCGGTGGCGGTGGCGGTGGTGGTGGGGGCGGATGTGTGGAGCAAGCGAGTGTAGGTGGAAGCAACAAGGTCTGCTCGCTCCATCTGCACTTGAATCAGCGGCAGCTGGTCCAGTGGCGTCGCCACCTGATGGGGGGGAGAGGTAGTAGGGAAACAAGTAAGAGAGTGGTTGCGGGCCGAGGAAGAGACGAGGAAGAAATGTGTTTTGAGGCGTCTCAAAACCTGCATCTGCAGCTGAGTCAGTGGCAGCTGGTCCAGTGGCATGGCTACCTGATAAGGGGGAAGCACACGAATATTCGGGGGAGAAGTTCATGAGGCAAGCATGCGGGACAGCTGGGAAGCAGAAGAGGAGACAAAGCAGAAACGAACATAGCTGAAGCGTGCGACAAAAACCTGAGGAGGTAGTTGTTGTGAACCATGGAGAACATGAAAACGAGGTGTACCTCAAGGCATGCCACATGTGCGTTGAGCATCTGCTTATAAAGAGGATGAGATGCAATGAGCCCCTTCCACCTGGCCTTGTTCCTCTCCCTCTCCTCGTGGACCCTCTGCTGATCCACTCTCTCTCGTACCACCTGCTGCTGTTGCTGCTGCTGCTGCGGCTGCTCTGCACTTGCTGCAACAGCAGTACCAGCACCAGCGCCAGCAACAGCAATAACAGCAGCACCACCAGCAGGAACAAGAGAAGTAGCAGCAGCCGCAGACAGGGGAGAAGGAGCGGCGTCACTTGTTCGATTTGCAGCAGGCTTTTCCCAGTGTGGAAACAGATGCTGCTGCTGCTGCTGCTGCTGCTGCTGGTTTTGAGACGTCTCAGGAGCTGCTTCAGTGGATGTCGCTGCTGCTGGTGGTACTGCTGGTGCTGCTTGTGATTCTGTTGCTGCCGTTGCTGCTGGTGCTGCAGCTGATCCTGATGCTGCTGCTGCTGGTGTTGGCGTTGTCAGGGTGTCCGTATCTGGTGACTTCACACATGCTGCAGGTGCTGCGGCTGCTGCCATTAACGCTCCTTCCTCCTTCCTGTTTGTCAACTCATCTTGCACCCCTGCTCCACCACACGTCATCATGTCTCCTCCTCGCACATTTCTCACATCACCATTGCCCACATCGCCCATATCGCCACCTATACTGCCACCCTTCTGATCACCACCATCAGTACCACCGTTGCAACCATCACCCCCTTCACACTCCATTTCCCTCTCCTCTCCCTCCACCCTACCCTTCTCTTCTCTCCTCCTCACCTCCTCTCCTACAATCCTCACTTGCTCCTCCCCCATCCTCTCCTCTTCTCCTCCATTAGTCACCTTTCCCCCTTCCAGCCTCAACGCCCCATGCGCAGCCTCCCCACCTTCTCCCAAACCTGTTGCCGGAGGTGGCAAGCTCAGGCTCGGCATGTGGTCCAGGTTCGGCACAGGCTGGTTCGGCATGGAGAGGCTCGGGGAGAGGTCGAGGGGCAGGACGCAGGGAGAGGAGTTACTGTGTAGCATAGAGGCATCGAGCTCAGGTAAGGAGAAGAAATGGGCGAGCTCGTGGTTTATAAGGGTGGTGGGAGGTGAGGAGTGGTGGAGATGGGTGAGAGGGGAAGAGCGGTGGAGAGGGGAAGGAGGAAGGAGAGGAGAACGGTGGAGGGGGGAAGGAGGAGAGAGAGGGGAGGAGTGGAGAAGCTTGGAGGGGCGGTTGAGGGTTGAAGAGCGGTGGAGTGGGGAGAAACGTTGCAATGGGGAAGGTGGGGAGAGGGGTGATCGGGCGGACGGTTGGGGGGATTTCAGGAAAGGAATGGCATATGACTGCTGCTGCTGGTGGTGTTGCCTCTGTCCCACGACATGGTGATTCAATTGATTCGTGTGACTGAAAGGAGCACTGGGATTGAATGGATCGGCCTGACGCCAAGCAGGAGAAGAGGAGGGATTAGGGTTTAGGCCTGCTTTGTCTTCTTGTGCCGGCCTGGTGGTGAGGAAACCTCTGGAGAGGGCAATGGGGATGGAGAGAGGGCTGGGCGGCGGAGGGGCAGGGCGAGGGGGGAGGGCGGGCAGGGCTGTGGACGTTGCTGCAGAGGGCGTGTGGGGAGGAGGAGGAAGAGAGTGGGGAGCAGCAGGAGCGGAGGAAGAGGCAGCAGTTGGCGTGAGAGGCGGATGGGCAGCAGTCATGGATACTAGCGCTGGGCCAGTGGTATTAGAACCAATAGCTGCAGCAGCAGCACCAGCAGCACCAGCAGCACCAGCAGCACCAGCAGCACCAGCAGCACCAGCAGCAGCACCAGCAGCAGCACCACCGGCAGTCGTACCGAGAGGGGCGTGATTGAAGGGTCGCTTCATAGGCAGCTTGTGCTGGCGGGTCAGAGAGTGGGCGGAGGAGCGGGGGAGGGAACGAGGGGAGAAGTTTGGGGAGGAGGCTGTCTTGTGTGCCAGGAGTGGTTGTAGCTGACGTTGCAGCTCCTCACAGCTCACCACCCGCATGCTTGCTGCTGCTGGTACAATTGCTGCCACTGGTGGTGCCATTGGTGCTGTTGGTGCTGGTGCTGATGGTGCTGCTGCAGCTGTTACTGTTGTTGCTGCTGGCGCCGCCACTGCGTCTCCTGCATGTGCTGATGCTGCCTGTGCATCCGCATTCACCTTGTCATACATCTCTCCCCCGGCTTCCCCTGCTTTCCCTTCTTTCCCTGCTTCTCCTGCACCTCCTTTGCCCATGCACTCGCCCTCCCCATGCGCTGGGGATTCGCTGTTCCGGTAACTGATACTGTTACGGCGCGATAACTCTTCACCATCCATCGCCACCTTGTTCGTCGAGCAACGACTCAGCAAGCCGGCCAGCATCAATGGTTCCCTCCCTTGCTGACTCGGCATGCCATCACTGCTGCTGCTAGACGTCTGGGTTCCGCCCTTCACCTCCCTCTCTAGTTCCGGTGTGCTCGCCACTTCCTCCATGCCCCTGAATCCTCCATCATCTCCCACCTCCTCAACTTGCATCGCCTCGGCGCCGTCCCCCTTATAAGCTTCCTCTGTACCGCCACTGCCGCTGGTTGCATGCTTGGCAGCAGGCTCTGGTGCCGAGTCTTCCTCCATTGGTATCGTCGCCTCGTGTTGAACTTCCTCCTCATTCTTCTCATTCCCACTCTTCTCATTCTTCTCATTCCCACTCTTCTCATTCTTCTCATTCCCACTCTTCTCATTCTTCTCATTCCCACTCTTCTCATTCTTCTCATTCCCACTCTTCTCATTCTTCTCATTCCCACTCTTCTCATTCTTCTCATTCCCACTCTTCTCATTCTTCTCATTCCCACTCTTCTCATTCTTCTCATTCCCACTCTTCTCATTCTTCTCATTCCCACTCTTCTCATTCTTCTCATTCCCACTCTTCTCATTCTTCTCATTCCCACTCTTCTCATTCTTCTCATTCCCACTCTTCTCATTCTTCTCATTCCCACTCTTCTCATTCTTCTCATTCCCACTCTTCTCATTCTTCTCATTCCCACTCTTCTCATTCTTCTCATTCCCACTCTTCTCATTCTTCTCATTCCCACTCTTCTCATTCTTCTCATTCCCACTCTTCTCATTCTTCTCATTCCCACTCTTCTCATTCTTCTCATTCCCACTCTTCTCATTCTTCTCACCCTTCTCACTCTTTACAAGCTCAGTCTTGTGACTCTTGTCATTCTCACTCCCATTTCTCTCACCACCGCCGCCACCCTTATCAGTCTCGCCATTCTTCTGACCCTTCTCGTTCTTATCACTCTTCTCCTTCTCATTCTCAGACCCACGCCCACGACCACCCTCCCAGCTGCAGCAGCTCTCCCAATAACCATCACCATGGCTTCCCTTCTCCCCTCCCAGTTCATCACAATCCGGTTTCATCTCTTTTGAAAGGCCAACGCAGCCATTCCCAGCGAGCATCAAGCTTCCTAGCTTCCGTGTCGCAGCACCAGGCGCCATGACTGTAACACTGCCACTGCCGCTCACTCCGCCGTTCATGGCATCACCAGACTCACACACGCACTGTACAGCACGCTCTGTGTGACAGAGCTATCTTATTCCAGACCAGAGCCTCCCTCTCAGCACTCAACCCCCCTTCTCCCTTCCTGCAACTGTCCCTATCCCAAGCTTGTAACCTGATGAAGAGGGCCTGAAGAGGTTCGAGCAAGGTCGCTCGCAAGTCACTTTCACTTTTGAGATTTCCCAAGAGCAACAAGCAAGCTTAGAGGCGGGTCTCCAAGAGGCCGCGTGTAGGAACCGCGCTGACAGCGCCAAGGTCGGTCTATCTACAGCAAAGAGTCCAGTCTAACCTATCTCCGTCAGTCAGCTGCTTAGAAGGTCAGTCTGCTTGGATTAGACGTTGCGTTCTGAGTCTTGAGGCGACGAAAAAATCGTCAGTAGGCGCAGGAGGAATCATTGAATTAGAGGTCGCTTGCTGAAAACACGACGGTTTGACAAACGGCGAGCTCGGTTTAGCTGAAAACACACGAACTAGCGCTGAGCCTCCCGAGCAGCCGATATTCCAAGACAGGGGAGGGTAACGAATCGTGAGACAGGGGAGGGTCACGAATGACAGCCTGAAGTCTGGCGTCCGGACGCTCGGGGCGAATCGCGGTATTGAAAGCGATGGATTGAGACGGAGCAAGACAGTGCCATTTAAGCTAGCTCCCCCGACCGCATTAGCTGGAAAAATCCCCCTGGAGAAGGTGCCTCTTCCACCCTGAATCTTCTCCCCCCCCCCCCCCCCCTTCCCCACCCACCCCAACTCCCCTCCCCTCCGGGAGGTGCCGCTTCCCCCGCCCTTCTTGCCTCCCCGAGCAGTCACATTTCGGGGCAAGAAACGTGTGGCGGACGTAAGGAAGCACCCAAACGCCGTCGGGAGGAATTTCTTCCTCATGAAGGCGCAATCCCGCTTGCGATAGAATCGAAATAGAGTCACTTCCTCCCCCCCCCCCCCCCCCCCCCCCCCCCGAATGGTATTACTCCTCTCTCCGCGTTGCGCTGGACGGTCCACGTCAAGATCGGTGGCACGCGAGCCGGCGCTGCGCTGGCGCTCCGTACGCTGACTTCGCGATGGTTCCGCGGAGCGGATTCGCGGAAAGAGTCCAGCGCATCGCTGGCTGCGCGAGAATGAGGTTGCGCACGCGTGACGCGACCGACACGGTGGGCTGGGAGGATCAGCGGGAGCACCCGGAGTCTAGCACCCCGCATCAGCATTCTACGCAGGACGTGGGATGCAACACCTGGCTCATTGCTAAGTGGCAGACCTGAAACCTTTGAGTCAGCGTAACACCTCCCCTCCGCTGCCGAGTCAGCGTGGCTTTTCCAGCGATCAATACTGCAGAGTCAGCTGCGGTATACTACAGCCCAGCGACGAGTGCCTTCCTGATGTGACGTGGCACGAGGAGACTTGTCTCAGCAGGTGTGCGGTAAGTTGCTGAGTAGCTTCCGCGACACGATTTCTAGCCAATCAAGGCGAAACGCGTCGCGCATTTTCCGCAGATGCGCTTGCGTGTTCCGGGATCTTCCATCCGGCCAGATTCTCCAGAAATGGCTTGTCCCGCCAGACGCGGTGCGCGAAAAAGAAAGCAGTGCGGTGATTGGCTGAAGCTTCGGTTCCTAAACGGTGAGGTTTAGGAGGTGACGTTCGCGGAGCTCCCGAGGCCGACTTGGAGAATACCGAAGTCATAACGCCCTGCCGAACGGCTCAGATTGAAGTCCTGTTACGAGCAGTCACAACAACAATTTGCAGCGGAAATGCCGCGATCCGTATGCACCCTGCTTTCTTAAACCCGTTTTTGCTGGATGAATTAGAATGGCTGCCTTAGAAGCTGTCAACAGACGAGCCGCGAGGGACCAGAGATGCTCCTATGACTCACGACATTCTCGAGGTCTGAAGAAAACATCCTCCTGTCATTCCCAGGGTGAGTCTGTGACAGGACACTCGCTGTGCCAGTTCACTCCCGTCACCTGTGACCCCCTCCCAAAACTCCCCCTCTCTTCCTTCCGCCCCTCTGTTCTTCCGCCCCTCGCTTGCCCTCCCTTCCCCTTGTTCCCCCCTACCCAACTGAACTCCTGAGGGGATTGAATTTCCCTAGAGGCGCAATAGACATTGACGCGCCACCTGGGGGAGAATGGGGGAAGATGGGGGGAACCAGGGAATGCCGCTGGTGTGCGGCGGATGTGTGAATGAAGATTGTTCGTGCGGTACTGTACACGTATGTGTGTGTGTGGTTTTGCGGACGACCCCTCTTCCGCAATGAACATGTTGCGGACCCAGTTCGAATATTGATACTGCAGTGCAACAGCTGAATGTTTGATCGTCGCTTATGTAAATAAATATTCTGAGTTCTATGCCCAGCTGTATAATTAACGACGCATGTTGACACTTACATCAGCTCCTTACGACTGTAACGAGGGATACCAAAGGCGGCACATTCGGCAGCATTGCAATCCAGATGAACGCCCACTAAAAAAGGAGGCTTCGCTGGCAACATCCTGTGACAGCCAAAAGGTCGTGGACGCCTCCACGTTCGTGCGTGGATGATCGGTGATCTTCTGCGGGCAAGAAAGATTTTCAAATCATGTTTCCTACACGCCACGGTCATTTTCTCGATGATTTGATTCATCAAATCAACTCGTTTACAACGCGTTTACTCAGTGGTCCACGACTGCACCAACGTTGCAGCCAGCCTCGCCGTAATACAATCATGACTGTCAACGACCGTGCCAGTGGATAATTAGCTTTTCATGATGCTGCTGTTTAGCTGGGATATCCGCGCCCAGCTCTGCTGGAGTTGAAATCTGATGGCGACAACTGCGTCTGTGTGTGGTGGCGAAAGGCAGGCGAAAGATATTTCGTAAGCTACTTCGTTGTGGCCTGGCCACAGCTCCACGATGGCAGGGCGATTCAAATCAATTGCGAGAACACTGCCACTTATGTAAGTACAGGCTGTAAAAGAATTGTCGTTGCAAGTTTGCCAGGCTGAATCCTCATTCACCTTCTCCCTTCCACAATGGCATGGATGTACAGTACTGAGCACCACCACTCATCCCACCTGGTAGCAAAACACAAATCTGGTGCACACAGCTAGTTGTCCACAGAAGACTGCGATTTGCTAAGTGATGAATGCCGGGTGGCAGGGTTCCAGATCCGAGGCATCATCACTTTGCAGCGCCTTCATGAATGGCGCTGGCATGACAGGTGATAGCTTGCTCATCAATTCTGTTCCTCGGTGGGATATCGAATTCGAAGGCCGTGCGGGAGTGACTGAGGAGAGGACACATGGGCAGCCAGTAGGCCGCACACAAGCGAGTTCGTCTCAACCCACACAAATAGGCCGCTTTTCTCCAATATTGAGCAATGTCTAGTCCACGAGCCAAGTAGCCGCTGTGTTCCATCCCTGCTGAGTCCGTCGTTGCTTCAGAGTCAAATTTAAGTTAATAACATAGAACTCTGTCAAGAGTATCATCAGTGTTTCCGGTTTAGTCGAATCATGGCCAAGAAAGTGGAACGTGAAGTCTTCCAGCCAACAACGTTCAATGTAGCAGACCTCCCCTCCCCCCCCGCGAAACGCGTATGTATCCGGAAGACTTGGCCGAGAGCGCAACCCCTTGTCGACCTCAACGTTCTTCCACCCGAAGCGGAATCCCCGCCCATGCCCACAACTTCCGCCGCCGCGTCGCTTGGGGATCTCGGCGAAGACTTGTTACTCCACATCCTCCAGCTCGCTCAGCCCACGGCCTGGGACCTGTCTCGTCTCGCGTGCGTGAACCGATCGCTGCGAAACCTCTGTTACAACCCAATTTTCTGGACCAAGCTTCGCATTGGTCCCGGGAGCATGCGCGCGGGAGTGGAGCAGCTCGCGTCGCGATGCGCGCATTTGGAGGAGATCCACATCGACGACCCGCGCTGCGAGCTGCACGTGCTGCACCCGATAATCATGGCGTGCGGCCCGTCGCTAAAGCGCATCGTCATCGACTGCGATCGTGACGACACGAGCCGCAACGAAGCGTCCATCTGCAGTGTTCTTTGGATAGTAAGGTGAGCAAAAGTTATCATCCTTTTGTTTCTTGCGTTCGCCTTTGTTTACGCCCGTCTCAGTTCGAAATGTTCGCGCACGACATGAGAATTACAATTATCATCACATCCCCCGGGATGTACTTCATTGTTACAGCTCTTCTGTCACATGCACTTACCTGGGATCCTCTTTTCTCTCTCCTCTCCCGCTGTGCCCTTCCATTGTGCAGTCTTTACTGCAGCAATGTCGAAAGCGTCGAGCTTATATCGAACGGCGAGAAGGGGAACTTCAACTATCTCGAAAACAAGGCCATGTGGTACCTAACGTCGGGTTTCCGTCGCGTTCGCAGTTTCGCTTGTCTGTGCAAAAACAGCCTAACGAAACAGGCGCTTTACCTGATGGTTATCGCTTGGCGGGAACTGGCGTACTTGCGAATCCACTGCGGCGCGCTCGCGAAGGACGACCTGATGGCCTTGCGAAAGTGTTACGCGCTGCGAGTATTAGAGCTCATCGGCGGGAACCTTCGCCAGCTTTTAGGCGAAAACAGCGTGGCGACAGATGCGGTCATGCATCGCGACATTACTACTATCGCTTTGACGGACATGGAGTGCGACGTTGACGACATTGCGAAACTATCAATGCTCCTGCCGAGCCTACAGCGGATTATTGTTCAGAAATCTTCCTTACGTACCTCCGCGGGTGACGACTCCGCAACGATTGCGCGAGCTGTCGCTAACCTTCGTGTGTGGCTCGCAGCGCGGAAGAACATCCAGCTATTTATCAATGAGTGAAGGGCCGCATAAACTTTCTCAAGTGTACCCGCCGCTATCGCGCTACTGATCATCCCACAGCGTCGCTTGC